AGACACGACCTTGATTGCGACTGGTGGATCGGTGGAGCCCTCAGCGACTATAAAACATGAGTCCTCAATTCAAATCTGGGACGCAGAGACAGGCAAACTTGTCACAACTCTTAAAGGACACACATGGGAAGTGACTTGCCTGGCTTGGACCAAGGACGGAAAAACGCTCATCTCCGGGTCATTCGATTTCTCGATTAGGACATGGGATACCACCAAGTGGGAGCAAATTGCAGTGCTGGATAAGCACACTTCCCTTGTCCTTGCCATTGCAATATCACCGAATGGCCGCATCCTCGCAAGCGCATCGTCCGACAAGACAGCGCGATTGTGGAACCTCGACAATGGACAACCCATCAGTTCGCCTCTCCAGCACGCAGAGCAAGTGAACTGCGTGTCATTTTCCGCGGATGGAAAGCTACTAGCTACAGGCTGCCACGACCAAAACGGATGCACGTGGGACGCTGCTGCGATTCTCAGAGAGGCTGGCCTCAATGACCTTCTTTTGAATCCAAAAGTGAGTTGACAGGCATGTTTCACTCTCACAACTGAACGTGCTCTGCCAGGCCAACAAGTCGGTCCTCCATGTACGTGACTCCTTCATAAAAGATCTCATCGTGCCCAACTTATGTACTCTAGCCTGATGCTACACAACGTCTGGTCCAGCGACGTCCGCCTGCTCATCGGACACCCCAAGGTTTTTTCGATGGAGTCCCACCAGATGGTTCTCGAGTATGTTCTTAATAATATTAGTGTCACTTCGTTTTTTGTACAACTTGGTTTTGCCAGTTCTCTGGACAAAGCCACCCCCGCTCCTCCTCGGAACCGCAAGGAAGCACACTTCTTCGTCGCTTATTCCACCGCAGCCCCTCCAATGCCCATGATACGTTACCGTCCTCCCTTCTCGACTGGGCTCGAAACCCTTTGAAACGGCGCGGACAAAGTGGTGAAGGCACCGAGTTGCAAGGGCGCAGCCAAGTCGTCGAGGTTCCGTATGCAAAGGGTAAACGTGTATGTTCTTTCTTTCTCTCGGACGTTCAACTCCATCTAATATCACGTAGAGAAATGCTTGCGCGAGGGAGAAACGTAAAGGACCATTGCCCCTGAGGAGCGCTACTACGGGCAGCTCACGGCCTCAAAAACCCAATGTCACCCAGCCATCTTCGCAACCACAGGCTACAGTCTCCAGTTCATCCACCACACCTGATGTCGGCGATGTTGCCGCAGCTACAACTTCAACACCCTTCCATCCTCATGTCATTATAAGACGCCCTGGACTCTGGACTCGCTTCTGGCTCTTTATTGGTTGTATTTCTCATGAATGCACAGATGATTGTCGTTAGCCCATGATTTTCTTATTCTTCAAGAGTCGCATACCTTTACATTTCTCGACGGACTCTCATTGATGTGCTCTACCTACTGGTCCCACTCCCTCTGATGTATTTCGAATTGACCTTTATGTATGATACAGATACCAGACTGCGCCAAATCCTCACATTTGCTACGATTGCCTTTGCGGTGACCTCCAAGCTCTCACATTTCTCTCTCGTTACTGGTACACAATGTACAACAATGGTAACACGAAGTGAGCGTGAACGAGATAGACAACTTGCTGAATGGAGTCGAACACGGTATGCCCTCAGAATCCAAATCCCTAGCCTGTGTCGCCATCTCAGAATACCCCACAATCCATGGTGGGAGGGCAAGTAAATGCGATGATTGAGGACACAGGGCTCGCGTTGCAGAGGTTCAATTCTTCCTTTGTTAACCCGAATTGCAGTCATGGAGGGAGAGGCTGGACCGTGCATCAGAAGAATAAGGGGGGTGTATCATCAAGGAGTATTCTGGTAAGTATGTAGCATGCAGTATATCGTCGCACACGTGATGTCATGGCGAGGTCTGCACGTCAAGTAATTGATACCATGTTAGCACGCACCAACTTTGTAGAACGAGGTATTGACCAGCTGTGTGAAAAGGATAAAGCCAACGAAACGCCTTGGTTTGACGCTCTAGATCTATTGGGCCCTCCTACGAGCCGTTTACCCTACTGGGTATTTGCAGGAACGTCATGAAGTGCTCATCTACACGATCTTTAACAGTAGATTAGGAAGTCAAAGGATTTGGCTACTTCGCGAAAAAAAGATGTTAAATACAGACTCGGTATCATTCGCGGCACTGGTTTGCATGAATTATTGGCCCATAATGCGTAAACCCTGCGATTGTGATAGGATTCAAATGGTCAAAAATACGGGTTTGGCGTCACATAGATTAATTTGAAATTCAAAGAAGCGGTTGCTACGGTCCGGCCTGGACAGGCCCAAGCATTGGCTCCGAGTCTGTCGAATTTGCATCAAAGTTTGCTGCAGTCTTTAGAGGCTGTTCGGCAACCAGATGTTGACCAACATTTGGCAAATGTCATCTCGGCTTGGATTTCGCCGAAGTTCGGAACTTGAATCATAGTCCGAATTCGGACTAACCCTAGCACACTGATATGGGCTGTAGGGTATAATACACTGTTGTTAGAGTTGTATTCTATGCGTCCCTACACCAATAGATCCTCATTCAAGACTCCAGCATTTCATGCCCCAACATCCAGAAGTTCAACACTGCCTCATCCTGTTGTGAGAACAGGTGAGCGAACGATGGGAGAGGGAGCTAGAACACAAAGGTATGATCTCAGTTTCAACTAGAACTGAGATGTGTGTGTCTGATGGGTGCTTGGTTTTATAGCAAGGTAAGTAAGGAACACAAAGGTGAAGTTTTCTGACGTATGTATATTGCAGGGCACAAGCCGATGTCATTTGGGCACAGCCTATTGGCCCATCTGGCTCATGCGCTTGGACCTCTCTCTCTCGCTCATACCTATCATGTCGGATCCTTCAGCTTCCTCACTCTCTTTCTCTTCAGATCATTCAGACTTCAACACATCCAACATTCAATCCTTCTAGTCAGCATCTTAATCAGCGCTACAGCCAATATACTAGAGTCAGTGTATGCTAAAGACCTGGAGCCATATCACACATCTGCTCTCTCTGGTGAAGCCTGGGTGATGGAGCTGTTGACTGGTCACCCAGAACGGATCTGATGTGAACTTGGCATGCATGTGCATGCTTTTGCAGAGCTTATATCTGAGCTTCGTACCCTTGGCTATGCCAACTCCAAGTTTGTTTTGCTAGAGGAACAACTCGTGATTTTTCTATATACATCTGTCACAGGACTGTCTGTCAGGCATGTCGGTGAATGATTTCAACGCTCCAATGAAATGATTTCTCGGTAAGTACGTGCTAATAGTTATGATCCGCTGATGTCTCATTGTATTTCCTATATAGTTATTTTTGCAAGATGCTCAGCATATTCTCGTCTTCCCCCTTCTACACAAACTACATTCACTTGCCAGATGACTCTGTTCCTGATAGAATTCGCTCTGACCCTAAGTTTTGGCCATTTTTCAAAGATACCATTGGGGCTATTGATGGTAGCCACATTCATGCTTTGCCTCGTGCATTTGAACAAGGTCCCTATTGCAATTGGAAGGGATTCATTTCGCAAAACTGCCTGTTTGCCTGTGACTTCAAGCTCAACTTTACTTATGCACTCACTGGCTGGGAAGGGTCAGCCACAGATGCACATGTCTATGAGGCTGCAGCAGGCCATGACCTTCATATTCCTGCAGGGAAATACTTCCTTGCAGATGCAGGCTTCCCTCTGTGGCCTGAACTACTCATTCCATATTGTAATGTGCACTACCACCTTGCAGAATGGGGCCATGCAGGTTTGAGGTACATGTACTGGTATTATTCTTTCTACAATGTGCTGATTATTCACAGGCCAACTATGAAAGAAGAGTTATTCAATCACCATCATTCATCTGCTTGAAACATCATTGAGCAGATTTTCGGTGTCCTCAAACAACATTTCCGAATCCTCCATCTATCACTGCTGTATGCTATGAGCATACAAGCTCAGATTCCAGCTGCATTGTGCTGCATTCACAACTTCATACGTTTTCATGATCCCTCAGAAGGTGCACTACCTGAAGCAGACTATTCAGACTTGGACACTCATATGCATGCCACAAACTGGGAGCAGGCAGCAGGAGAAGCATACAATGATCTGCATGTGAAATGTGATCTCATTGCACAAGCGATGTGGGTTGAATATCAGCATATTTTAGAAGAATGATGTGATCTTGATAATGATGACAACAATGTATTGGATGCATCAGATGATGAGTATGAACTGGATTGATTCTTACAAGTAGCATGTAGTTGTATCTGATCTGTTTCAATTGGTATATGATTCAGTGACTTGGATGAGTGAAATACAGTAAAATGAGCAGTACATGAGAGGGATACCACAGGTTGGTACAAAAAATGTAACAAGCACAGTGACACAAATGGTATGATAGTACTACTGCAGCAGCGGAGAGTCTAAGAGCTCTGAGATAAATGCATGGTGTGTCTCATAGTCATCCTCAAGCCCAACATAGATAGCAAGCTTGTTTTCCCCTCCTGCAAGGGAAAATATATGCAGGAGGCTGGCTCTCTGACCAACTGACAAAAATTCCCCATCTTTGCCATGCATAATTTCCAGGCCATGAGAGATGATATTTGGTACAGTTGGTGCAACAGGGACTGGTGGTGGAGGCAGAGGTGGAGTGGATATGGTCTTCTTGATAACATCTGTGAGGTGGTTAATGCTACCTTGCATATTCATGATGGCAGTGGCAGGAGTGATCTTCGCAGCAATTTTTGCAGCACTACTCATCCCTGTCTGCATGCCACCATGCGCTGACACTCACGCCTTCTTGGGAGCCAGTGACAATACCAATGTTGATGAGAGCAGAACAGGATTGCTGGATGCGGGAGGGGCACCAGTGCATTGAGATGAAGAGTCAACAAAAGTGTTAGTGCGCATGTGTTTACTGGACTGGGAGCTGGCAACCTGAGTAGTTGTGAAGGTTCCCTGAAGCAGGGTGCTAGGTGGCATCATCAAATCAGGGCTCATGTCTGGTACATCACTGGCAGTGGCAGCTCCAGCAGCCTGAGTGTCTACATCCATGTCAAGAAAGTCAAGGCCTCCATCAATAACATCAAGGACATCATCTGCAGTATTGATAGATGGAGGGGGTGCAGTAGCCAGATGCAAAGTGTGCCTTCTGCAAGCGCCACTATTATCACCCAAAATCATCTGCATGTTGCCATATGAAGCCCACCCTTTGTTGCAAAAGGGGCACATTGCAGCTCATGACTTTTGGACGTCAGTCAAATGCAATAGAATTTATTATAAGTACATACCTTGGGATCAACATATGTATCCCAAACACTGGCAGCCGCAGTGCCCTTGATTCCAGCCCCCTGCACATTATCCCAATGGAAACCAGATACATTGCAATAGATCTTGATTTGATTAAAGATTTTTTTGAGCTAAAACATGCTTGTAAACTTATAATCATTCAAGAAACAATCACATACCAATGTCCACTTCGTCTTAACCATCTTGCCCATCTTTGGTGGGCCTATTGTTTGAATCACATCATTGTCATTGATAGCAGCTGCTGCACTGTTGAAGGTAGGCATTGTGAAGTTTCCACCATTGCCACCCGCTGCCCAATTCTGAATCAGGTGATGAAGTAGAGCATCCACTTCTGCATCTTGCCAGTGTGCCTTTGTGTTGTCTGACATCGATGTTACTTCTGGTTGAGCCATGAGGACTGTGGTGAAGCTAGCACAGAGAGCAGTGAGTGCAACAACAGAGGTACAGAGTCTCTGCTGACAATAGTAGTCAATAAGATAAGAATTCATGGTAGATGTACAGGTATGAGTTGTAAGGTTTGAGCTCCGACAATTGAAGCGCTTGAAGCCGAGAACCTCTCACATGACATTTGCCAGATGTTTGGTCAACATCAGTTGCCGAACAGCCTCTTATGCACTTTGGAAGATTCGGATTCATGTACTGTTTTATACCCTCCAAAATTTAAACACATCTCTGCATGATGCTACCAAACTACGAATCCTGGTCAAAAGAAGAACTGATCAGCAGGTCAACTCGCTCACCAACATAAATAAACCATTCCGTTTTTCATCCCACCCGAAGCACAAGATCGCTATCAAGTTCTGTTGCTTACTTGGGGTGAGAGTGTAATGGACTGGTGTATCAAACCGGTCCAATGCCTCTTCCAACGGTCGAAGATGTCTTATTTAAAGCCTTCGTAAAGGCAGGGCTCATCGATGAAACTAGCGGCTTGGATGAATGTGGATAGGAGAGATGCAGGAGGACAGATCGGGGATCGCTCTATCACTCACGAAAGTATAAATTAGTCAAGTTCATTCCTGTGATATCCATACTAATGGAAAGTAGGAGAACGTGTCACATTGCTGATCAAGATTTCAAGGACAAAACAGGGATGATGGTCACTCAAGGCTTCAAAAAGGATGTCCAGCTGCTCTTCTGAGCTGCAGGAACAGCGTGACGAGACATACAACATTTGGGACATTTCAAGTCGGATTTGCGGGTGAATGGTATCTCTCCTTCTCAAGTAACCACAGAATATGTTGATATGGAGGAAATTTTCCTAGACACATTCCTATTACTAGAAGAGTTGCATTGAAGATCCACGAGCATGTAGATCTATGTGCACCATAATAGTGCGCAGCCTGGCAACAGTGTCATTTAAAGCACGCTGAAAAGGAAAACCCTATGCCAGACGCCGTCAGTATGTGCCATCCCATCCGAGTCTTCTGCTGAACACCCAAATAGTCTGGACGCCAAGAAGGCACATTTCTGGGACTCATTCACCTATTGCGTCTTCCAATCACCAGTGGAGGGAGATATTCCGGATTCTGGACAGTCCGATAGCGCGAACCACTATAGGTGTCGCGATCACGTGAAGACCAATATACTTAAATTTGTACGTCACGTCTTGGCGTGCCCTTCTTCCTCACCGTTCCGAGTCGTTCACGTAGCCAGGCTTTGCGCGTATCTCACTCTCCATCATGCCTGCAAATACAAGTCGTGTCGATAGTGCTGATCCTTCAGCAGCTAAAACCGATCTACAAGGACTTGAACTGGCGGAACATCACTTTGGTCCCTTACTCCACCCAACTCGCGCCACACAGAGCGCATGGACCGATTATTCTATCAATCGCCTCCGAGCCAATCGAAAGTACCATACAGTTGTCCCGGTGTCACGCAAGGGCTCTGAGGATGGTTCAGAAGAAGATTCTGAGGAGAATGAATACGACGAGTACTCCGATGACGCTTGGCTTTTCGATGGCATCAAAGTTTGTGTTTCTCAGATTGAGGAGGAAATGGACTTTGAGAACGGCACACTCCAAAAATGTATCACCATTTTATGGAACGAAACGGTGCTCGATGATGAGGAAGTGCGTATAGCTTGATGACACTATTCCATTGCTGATATCCATGGTGATCGACAGCCGCGCTCCACTGACCATATAGTCAAGATTTACTCACCCACTGCACCAATGTACATTGATGTGCATTTTAATTACTACTGCCGCCCGCGTTGGTCAGAGGTCGAGTGGTTCTACTCTCTCGGGTACAAGATCCAACGCCGCCCATCTGCGATGGCAGGCAATGCACTTGCTATCAAAAAAGAGCTCAAGATGGGCAGTCCTTCGGATGTGCACACGCGCAATGGGTGGCAGACCTTATGCTGGGGTTACTATGATGATTCCGATGGAAACTATGGCAAGCGTTGGCGCCGCATTGAGTGTGGAGAAGTGGGGTTACACCAGGAAGGAGTCATTGACGTTCATGAGGCGTTGTTCGGAGAATTGGAAAAACCTGCTGAAACCGACTCAGAGGCCATGCTCGCATATCATTGATCGCTCGTAAGGGGCATACGGCTGCTTCTTGCCGCTGTCAGTATTTCTTATGACGTTGCGTGTACTAATGATGAAAGTGATAAAGGGCCACATGAATTAATGCTTGAGGGGCTGAGCGACAAATGGGTCGGACGGGGGATACGGAATGCATGTGGCCTCCGACTTGCCAGAGATGCAAAAGAAGAGCAGGAAGGTGCCAAGGAACGACGGGAAGAAGCAAAGGGTTACGACGACGACTCCGAGGACGACGACGAAGGGGATTATGACTCTGACTACGGCTTTTGAGGGTCATGAATGGGTAGGAGGTGAGTGTGAGGAGATCGAGGATGATGGTTTTTGAAGTTCACTGGCCTGGAAAGTAGTTGCGTTCCAAAGAATAACGAGTATGTTAATAACTAATACTTGTGATATTAATACGTTTACAGCTGGCACCCGTGTCATGATTCTTGAAGTATTTTTCTTGTTCATTAACATCCGGCAGCAGTGAGATGGATCCATCCGCGGTCACATACGATGACCAATGGCAAAGAGCTTGCACATGATGTACAATGACACACAGCTGTATGCTGTAACTTAAACAGATAAACTTCATCCATCCTGATGACATGGCGAAAGGAGAGTACATGATTAGAACCCCAGGTGGAAGTGTGAACATCAGGGAAAACCTTCCGCGAAAACTTAACGCTTGCTCCAGTTGTATCATTGATGCTCAAGAGTGGTTGGTTTGTTAGTTGCTGCTCACTGAGTCACCTGCAAGATAGTATGAATGGAAACGTGGTGTATATAGGTAGGACGTGTGTAGTATTTCTTGAGGGACCTGCTGAACATCTCTACAACGTCTTTGCTGGTCCAGCAGATCTATGTGTATGTGTTCCTGCCTAATACCAAAAACAAATCGATCTTTCATGCAATGAATTAACAATCGCGTAAAAATGTGAATTAGATCAGTCCGTATCTGTGATACAATAACGTCCAGTCATCGCCGTATCGTTCACACAACCACAACTGGCCCAAACGTGAATTAATCAAGTCCATATCTGCGATAACTAGAAAGAAGAAAGTGGGCGAATATATCAAATCAAGAACGTCAACTGATCCAGACTTCCAATCCAATCCAGAATATCCGAGGGTACAAACAATGCTCTATAGGCTGACAGCGGTCGTCTGCACGTCTAGAGGTATACTTGCCCGGTATCTACAACTAAAATTGCGGACCGTTGCCGAGGTAAACATATACATCCTCTGTTGGAGGGTTTGCTTTGAACAGCTTGCCTAGACGTTCGTCTTCAGAGAGTGTTAGTATTAGTATCTAGACAGATGGTGAGAAAGAAAGTACACTCACAAACAGGATCATGTTCCAGATGTTTAAAATGCTTCAACTCCCAGGTCGTACCACCAGCAGATTCGTCCCGTCTTCTCTGCCTTTGCTCGTTCTGTTATCCAAATTTCAACACAATCGCGCGTCAGCAAACCTACATTCAAAAAACGAGAATAATGAACGCACCTCGATCTTCCCCTTAAACGTTGCAGCACTCTCAAAATCACCCTCTCTAATACCCTTCGCAACACCATACCACAACTTCCTGCTCTCCCACTCCCCCTGGTGCTCCACAGGTGCAACCGTGATCTCCTCCTTCGGCGAGGTCACATCATGGAATATAGCACCGCTATGCGATTCCTTAGACGTCGTATTCCACGTCCCTTCGATGACGTGGGGGGAAGTGTGGATATGTGAAGGTGGGGTGAGCGTTGCTTTGAACGTGTGTGATTTGCCGGAGAAATAGCCTTTGCCTTTGTATTCGATCTATTTCGTTTGTCAGATTCAGTTGAGATTTTGAGATGGCATGGATGATGAGAAATGGGAAGTGGGAAGTAAGCACGCACCGTAGAGAGCCACCCCGTAGAACTCTGGATGTAACTAGTTTCTGCAAGCTCGATATACGGAGATCCGTACCACAGCCCATCGATGCGGAGTCGAGGAAGTGTGATCAGGTATTCCTCAGTCTCACCAGACGGGAGTGATACAGTCAGAACTGCATGCCCGACTTGATTCACGATGATACTTCCCCCTAAAATAAAACGTACGTCAGCATACGGGACCTAATATATGAAATATGAAACAACGAAAACATACCGCTGAAACTCGTCTTTTGGGCACTGTGTCCAGTCAAAATCACGCCTTTTTCGAGATTCTCTATGCGATAAGCTGTGATAGGAGGGTGGTGGGAGACTTGTTCTACGACCAGGGTAGTTTTGCCTCCACGAACTGCGTTTGCTGGCCAATACCCGTAGAAGAGTCTAGAAGAGATCAGATCAGCGCGAGATACATATGTCGGCAACGAACACGCTTACTCTCCAAGAACAGGATTCAACGGCCTGCATCATAGATGAGCTTCATACCAGGGACACATATAAACATATCACATACTTCTTCTCAGATCCCATTGATTCGTTCCGGGATGTGTATTGCCCTTTAAGCGTACTCTACCAACCGTATAATTAAGTGGAACGATATATAATCATGATGTTTCTCGACTCACGATGAACCATTTCAACACAGCCAACGCTCGGGCTTGATCCGTCTTCCCATCGGCAATCGCAGCAAACAACTCGGGTCGCTCACACCAGTAAGCTGAACAACGGAACACAGTCAGATCAATACATACCGCTCAAAAACTGATCGCACCTGGGAACTCAGTAAGGGACGTAGGAGATAATATAAATGGAGGAGCAGTCATAGCCGACAGATCGCCCGTGAAACCAGCCAGCCTAAGGGGTATCAGTTTACTGATCAAAGGATCTCATTAAATGAAGAACGATGGACACTCACGATTTCAAAAAAGTTGTCCAGCTACTTTTCTGAGCTGCAGGTACAGCCTGGGTAGATCACAGCACAATAAACGAGAACATGTAACATACGGCATTTGGAATGTTTCAGGTTAGATTTACGGAGACTCTTTGATGGACTTGCCTCGCCAGCTTGTTCCGACATGCTTTGTATTGATTGTTGACTTGGTAGTGGGCGATGCGATTGTGATGGGGGTAAGGAGAAAGATGGATAGCCAGCTCAAGGGTACTCCACTGTGTAACTGCGTGTGTCACGTGATCAGGTATCAGACTAGTGTCCGTTTCGGACATTGACAAGGTCTTGATAGACTCATTGGTACTTATACGATGACAAACATGGAGCAACTAGTAACACAGAGACTATGAAACAGGAGTACAACGGATGGGTGAAGATGCAAGGGAAATGAAGATGAACTAATCAAAAGCCTCCTCCGCACTCTTACGTGCCAGACGTCGTACCTTCTTCTTATACGCTGTAATGATGCGGTTAGGATCAAGTGATTCAGTCAACCGAAGGTCACGCACCAGCATGATCCGTGCGAATTTCTTTGGCGGCATCCACGTTGGCTGGACTGTCCGTGTTTGGGGTCTCGGAGGACAGTAGCGATATGACGCTCACGAGCTGCAATGGAGAGTTACATCGGCAACAAGGTAGCGTTTTGATGAACGTCGTACAATTGTTTCCACTGTGTGAACAGGCATCCATCGTTCACCGGCATCTTCATAGCCATACTGATCATCGCCCGGAGCATGCTACGATCATGGATGAGCTTTGATTGATGGAGACAGCAAAGAATACGCACCAAGATGGAGATGCAAACTACACCATCGGCGTAAACTGTATGATAGGGTTAGATCACGCGGTAATTAAAGTGCACCCGTGGCTTACTGTTTGGGTGCCACATGGGCGTGATAAACCGCATCTTTGGCGGTTGGAGAGGATACTCTGAAGGAAAAGAAAGCCGAGCCTTGAAGAACCCTCCTTCACTAGATCATGTGTGAATAAGAGTTATAGATGAAGAGGGGTATGTGAGCGTACTACAGGGTGTCCGGAGGCCTGTCAAATCTGGTGAGTGTGATGGATGACTTTGAAGGGATTTGTGCTAACCCGATGATTATGACCTCCCATTCATAAAGATTGTTATCATCGACAAGTCCTTTGCCCGGAAGTCTATCAGGAATCGGTTGAAGATCAAAGTTAGGGAGAAAGGCTGCCCGCACCTGCAGAGAACCCCTCAACCGGGTGTTTCGTGAGCTCAGTGAGCTGCCTACGAAGTAGAAGAGTGTTTGATGGTTGTGGTGTGGATGGTTTCGACATAAGGTGAATTGAGGATTAAACAAAATTACAGAGAGTGCTAGTGAAAGATTGCAATTGAAAGATGCGAGCAAGTGTGATTCGAGAAATGAAGATATGGCGTGGGAATAGAACGGGTAGTCATTTGACACCCGACAATATTTCTTTTACATTTCTTTGCAAAGAGCCATCCGTAGCTACTTGACCCCCTAAGTAGACACTGGCCGCTCTTGCTTATGCTCGACGCCAGAAGGGAGGGGGGATTATACGCCAAACAAACATTTCTTATTTGAAATTCCCCTTAATAAACAAGCCAGGGTCCTTCCAGAAAACCTTCGTATGTCATCTGACACGCCTCCCATGACTGGCCACTAATCTGTTCAATGAACTCGATACATTCCCTGATATTCCTAATAGATGGAACGTCGATCGACATCCTACATACCTCTTCGAGCAAATCAAATGGAGTTATATCCGCGGTGGAATCATCGATACAGTAGTTTTCCCCAGCCAGACTTTTGTAGACAGACTCGGAGGAAGACGGTGTAAGTGCCACTACTCCACTGACAACGGATTCCCCTTTGTACCGCATTGGCGCATCTGTTGCGCAGCTAAAGACCCGATGAGAGTGGTCTACATTTTTTGGTAAGCTCCATAGCCATCACACATTGATCAGGCAGTGAAACTTTGAACATGATCAAAGCAGGCCTTCGTGCGCTTGTTGTCATCGCTGGTACGAAAATGCGAGAAATCCGATCGAATGTTACTTGGCAGAGCAGCTCTCATGAGTCATCATAGGTATTCACGTTGGGGCGTCTTAGATCCCCGGCTGAGTTTGACGGAGAGAACACAACAGTCACGAAGGGCTGTTGGTTAGCCTGGCTATGGCTAGTGCACGTACTTATATTCTGAACATAAAACTACGACTGCTACGTTGCCAGCAAATAGCTTTCCTACGATATCGTCGGTCACAAGGAATGGTTTGCCAAGTCCAACGGCTGTCAAGGACTGGAGAAGATTACTTACCAGAATCCGCGCTGCCTGTGTCAAACAGCATTTTAAAATATTGTTCTAGTATCACCTCAAAGGAAAGGTAACACATGTACCTATGAAAGTCCGCGGAGGCCAACCGACATCGATCGAGGCATAACATGCTAACTACCCTTCATCCAGGGCCGCCGTCAAAGGCTCATCACCAGCTTGCTTTATAATTTTTGAGATGCATAGTTTACTCGATGGGCATGCATGTCCTTCATTGGCTTCATATGCTGCAAATCCTCGACGGTACTTCCTAAATTCACTGGTCAATAGCGCGAAAAAATGAAGCCAAGTGTCCACATACACGGAGACTTGTGAAAGGTATGCTCGGACACTCCACACTGAATGTATGATTCCTGCGCTCAAGTGGTAGGCGCAGGTTCTACGATGCTGAGATACAAAGATGCGCATCATCCTGGCCCTTACTTATATGCAGGTGAGGGTAGTGAGCAGAAGCAAAATAGGTGATGACGATGATTTGGCCTATCTGAGGGTTGCAACCATTTCCGCCCCCTAGATTAATTGAAGGTTGCTCACCATTGGCACATCGAAAAATAGCGACTGTCAGGCTCCCCGCATGTCATCTACAACGCCAATAGAAAATCCAAAGAGCTGTTTTCAGCCATCACAATCTCACTCGCAACTTGAAGTCGTCAAAAAGAGAGTTCAACTCTCGCACTCAAGTCATGGGTATGCTGACACGCGCTACTCGAACATGATATTGCAGTGTCAGAGAATAGTGAAAGATAAGAAGGATCAAAACTTGCAGTAGTCTCACACAGGCCAACGTCGGGAAAGCGCACGATACACTGGTGAAATTTAGCGGGGGCCCCGAGACTTACAACGAAGTGGCTGCAAGAGTCGGTACGGTGGCAATGCCACTGAAACTTAAGACCCAGTACTTGAGATCGTGCACGACTGTGGAAAATCTAAATGACGTACACATAATTATCGTCCGGTCCGTTGAGCAAATGATGGGAGAAGTTGAATTAGGAGAATTGGCAATTGCTGCCCGAGCCCGAGATGCTGGATAGTATGGGCAAAGCCCATGTAGAGGCACGTGGGTCTAGTCGTACAGCCCTGACGAGGGCCGAATTCCTGATCAGCTGTTTTGCCCGCCGCGGGGTCTTACCGGCAGCCCTGTCCGTCGTACGTACAACGGACGATCTCGAAGGTCAGAAGAAGAAAATTTGGGGAGCGCTCTCTCAAAGGCAGTGCAAGTGAAACCGATGTCACGGAACTGAAAAAGCCGCGTTGTGCGGTGGCAAAACCAAACATACATATCATTACGGAGAATGAACTAGACACCCAAGCATATCAGGGACATCTGGAGGGGTATATCAGTCATGTAATGCGAATGCCAATGATTGCACCGAATGGAAAAGGTAGTGCGAGGCATACACGCACCCAATACGGGCAAAATATAAATGCGGACAATAAGGGCATGAATCGATGAGGGTCATTATCAAAGCGGACAGTGGCGCGCAGGGTAAATACAGTGCAGAGATAACCAATTATACGGTCATTAGCAAGGGTGGAGGCGTGCGAGTACCGGTGTGAGCAACGGAGATGTCAGTAAGGAAACAATCAGGGATGCAAGATAACGAGTGGCGGGCTGTGCAATCCAGACGTGAGGCAATATGTCGAGGAGTATAACAGATAAGTACACACTAGGCGAATAGACTGACAGCAGCCATCAACTCCAAAATCATTGTCATTGATCATTGCCTTGAGGTACGCCAGTGGACCAGCTAGGGAGACAGGGAGACAACTGTGCGGCGCGGCCGATATAATCAAGCGAGGCTGGAGGAACGCCATCAAAGCAGGAAGTATGGAAGCGTCCGAGACGGCAACGCGGCCAACACCTCACTGAATCGGAGGAAAGTTGGTAGTAGACAAATTACATGAAGTGAACTGGGAGAAATTGTTGTGAGGCACGCCATGCACGACGGTCACGCCGGTATTGCCTCAAGAATGCGATGACGGGTTGTTTAGAATCTTTCATTGGGCTTGACTAAAACTCTTGGCCCTGACGGTTGGTCAACTAGGAAGACAGTAAGTACTAGGTGACATACCCTTGATCCTGTGAGACCGTTCTCAACTTGAATAGCATCATCATGGGCCGCGGCGCAGCCACACGTGGCAAAGTCCGCTATGTCACCCCTGGCGTGGTCTTAGATAGTGCGGACCATTAGGCTTATAGGAGCTTAAAGGCATGATTCTACATAACGGACCTCGAATATACTCTTGGCAAAACGTTGTCCGTGATGATCGCCATGGCACCGAAAGTTGCAGCGCCAAACTTGGTCAAACTTTGTCTGCGTCAACCCCATTTACGAATACCCATCGTCATTCGAATTGCGCAACGAACTGCGAGGCAACTTAGGGCCGCGAGTTGCAATTCCAATATACATGCCACAGATATAGGCCTATAAGCCGACTGCACAGGTATTACAGATTCCAGGGGTGAGATCAAGTTGCGTTAAACCGCTATTTTTCGAAGTATCACAACTTCAAACCAAGCCCTTTCAGGTACCTGCAAGTAGTGTTTCATGAAAGCTCGAGCCTTTTAGAAGAGCTAGTTAGGTTTAGTGCTAACTTCTAAGCGTATGTCATTATGTGCGCTGTCAATCGGTTTACTTGTCAATGGTGCCGCGGTCCATCGGACTGGAATAATTTGCTCGAGCTACTTGAACAGGCTTGGATCTGCTTGAACTGATCAGTAATTATCCTTCAGCTTGCTGATAACGCTATAGTTGACAACTTGACACTTCTTTGCTGGAAACCTCTATTGACCAGGGACGGCCTTCGATTAGTGGAGCGGTGAAGCCCAAGGCAATATCATCAAATTCTCAATTGCAACATTTCGGCTCAGAAACACGTTTTGGGACTGGTTTCTCCTCATTTTTCAACCGACTTGCGGGTCCTTTGTTTTTAGTATCCCACGGGAAATCTTTCTAGTCCTCGGGTTCCGATCAGTCTCAAGTAACAGGCAAGCGCGATGGATGGAAGCTCTGCAATTGACTACCCATTACTCGCTCGTGAAGTTAGTTATCATGTTCGTGAGTGCGAGTGCAGTATCGTCTCATACTGTCATCGAACTTTTGATGTACAGTATCTTCATTTACCGTTCAGCTATGGGACATAGTCATTACTTTACGGAGCGAGATAGAGTTTATATGGCCGTGCGTCTTTAAGGAGCATCTGGAAGTATACGCCGAGTCCTGACCCCCCTTCTTCAGGAAACCTTGGAACTCGTTTTTCAAGTGGTTGTACTTGTCCCTCCGATATTTCAGTCTTGCAACACAGATGTAAGCATTCTTTGTACTTCTCTCGTACCCACTGAAACGCTCAATCAATACACAGATTCCACCAATTCGCAGTCCCTTACTTTAACAGCGGGAAAGCTTCAAGATCAAGCTGTTTTGCATGGTATGTGTATAGTGCCCTTGTAGCACAGTTCCAGACAACCGCTGTCGAGATCATCTTGGCTGTCCAAGGTAGGCATTGTTCTGCTTTCAATTATATGTAGCGAGTGACCAAGTCAATTTTAGTGTATGCATTGTTCAATAGAAGTCGCCGCATCGCTATCGTATTGGGGTCGCTGATGACACTCGAGTATATAATTCTCGCGATCGTGATCACTGGCTATTTCCATAGGATCCCCTCCATTCCTCATTGCATTCTATCAAAACCACCGTATCAGATAATATATCCCACGTAAGTCTCAGTTATCTCATCCGAACTACTACTTTTATGAATAGTGCCCCTAGCATTGTGGCGGTCGCACTGCAAAGTACACTTCTAGGTCTTGCTCTGATAAAACATATCTTGGCCAGACGCGCTGGCTGGGGTCGAGCACCACTGGTCTCGCTTTTGATTAGGGACGGAATGGCCACGTATTTTGTATTATGTGGTATGAACTTTGCTTCTGACATCGCCATATTTCTGATGGTTGCGGATGCTGTAGTGATGCTCTTCTGCGTCGGTTTATTTTGCGAGCTCCGTGATGAGCGCGCTGTAATCATGTTCTTGTGAGCCTTTTCCACGCTAACCGGAGACCAAGCTTAACGTCATTGCGGTCAGTTGGGTAATCCCAATTACGTCATCATGTGTGAGCTCAGTTGCCCTCTGACGGGCTTTTAATTACCTGAATGTGACTCTAAAGGGCTGTCGACTTATAGTCAACATGCAACGTATGGTAGTAGCTGAGAAGCTTGTACCACGTTCTCCTATTACCTCAGAGATTGAGGTTGAATTTTCATTTCAATCAATGTGATATCTTGTGCTACAGTGCAGTCATCCTGGCCATAATTATTGCAGAAACGCCCCTGCAAATTCCACAGGTTTTCGCTTACAAATAATGGGTAAAATATTCTAAGATCTCCGAGAGGGCGCAAAGATCTGCCTTCTCACAATTGATGGTGCTTACTCAGGCCTGCAGGAGCCTCAGGGTCCTAAGCTTTAAGATGATTGCTATGGACAACTTTGTGGTAAGTGGCATTCCACCACGCACACCTGAGCCCTCGGAACATTAATTTTTTCTGACCATTCGCGCGTTCGATGTCTCAAGATGTCATATCTTATGCTTTCGTTTTCAGACAAGCTACTAGTCATTGCTGTATGCGCTTACGCTCTCCTGTGCCACGTCCATCGTCATCGCCACTGACTGTTTGCCCAGATTCCTCTCTCGCCTTTTTTATCTACGGCTGGCTGTTAGGTTTAGAAAGCGAGATCCAGCATATCTGGATGTATGTATTATCTCGCTCAAGTTGTTTGGAAATCACAATTAGTGTAATTTAGGCAGCCTCAAAAGCGAGTGTTCAGATGGCTTTACATCTACTTTCGGTACGTCAGTCTGTTGATTCAAGCGCAAGTCTTTTCCATCTGAGGACTACAACTTGAACTAAATCATCGGGTGCTGCAGAATTCACCCAGGTGTCATGGAATACTTCGCAGGAGGGCATGGTTCGCCTTCTTCCTGTCTAGCCTGGAATATATATGTGTCTTTTCTGGGTCAGGTTCATGTCACAGCAGTCGAAGTGTTGCTTGCTGTCCGAGGTAGGATCTCGTGATTGTAATCGAAGCTTTATTGATGAAGAAGTCAGTATACGCACTCTTTAACCGTAGTCGTCGTATTGCTTTCCTGGTCGGCTTTCATATTTTGCTTGAAGTTATTTCTTCCGTGGTGAATGCGGTATACACCATAAGAGCTACCGAATACCATGGGTACTGTATCTTTTACAAGCCGTCGCATCAACTGTTGTACTATAGGTGAGTAGCCTACCACTCGGATGTGATACTCTTTCATTGAACATATATTATTCCTACAGCATTATAATCTTGTCTACACAGATCACCTTGATGGGTCTTACATTGTCGAAGACTATCCTCACCAGGCGCTCAGGATGGGGGAGGACACCGATCGTATCCCTACTTCTGCGCGACGGCAGCGCGGTCCTCTTTGTCATATCTGGTCAGAGACTTCGTGGCTGGTACTTATTTCAACATTCATTGAGCCCTATAGCACTGTGTCTCTTGACGATCGGCTTCTGTCGACTCAACGGCGAAAGAGCAACAGTAATATTTTTGTACATATAGCCTTTTATACTTCTGTTCTGTGCTGACGATATGTTTATTCGTTTCAGCTGGAGCGTGTCTATACTTTCCTCGTGTGTGAGTTGCTGACTTAAAACATTCAATTCGTGCGGCACACTGATTTAAATGCTAGGGATGCTGGCTGCTCATGAACACGCAACAGCTGGTTGCTCACGGTCGCTCACGCAGAGTATGCAGTGCTTCAATCCGAACCTCTGTGCTTAGCACTATTATCGAGATCGAGTAATGGCATGTCAGTCAACCCCGTTCAGGCATGCTATTTGATTCCAACCACAACATGTGTTTTTCATCAAATACATCCGACCCAGTGGCTAGATAACGACTGTACGGTGACCCCGGACCAACAGTTCCCAGCTCAAGTTTATATCCTACATAGTCATGGGACCCTTTGATATTCAAGCTCGTGTATTAACTACCATGTACATCGACAGGTCGTGGAGATCAGCTGCCAACGGATTCGGGATGATGCCCTTCAAACCCTATTACAGAGCAGCTGATCAGTACTCAGCACTGTGATATGTACTCCTCCATGACGAATACTTTTGTGATTTCCAGCCTAGAAAAATAGGCGAGTGGAAATACATGAGAAAAAATGCCGACGCCGCCTAGGTCAGACAAATATTGCAAATCAAGCGATGTCTAGTACATGTGTATACAGTCGCACAGTACAATGATCGTAAATTTAATTCCAATCAGCATTCGATCATGATACCCCATGTGCATGCCCATCCCATACGCTGCATTCGAGTTACAGTGATGTTCGGGCAAGTACTAAGAAACTTGAACCAGGAAGTAAGCGCCTAGTGGTGCACAGCGAAGCCCATAGTTGCGGAGGACTGGCTTCTCTTCCTTACATAGATCTAATGGTATATCGTTAACGAAGGTGCTTCGAGGTTGTCTTGTGAGTACACATGTACTTTGATCATTCGTACTTACGTATATGGTCATAGCTGATTGAACAGAAAAGGAAACTCGTTATGTTAGTCATTTACGCCACCGTGACTGATTCGGAACTTACTATCTCTAGCCTTACTCGACATAGCACATACTCTCGTGAAGACATCGCGCAGGGTGAAAAAGGAACAACCACTGGTGACAATGGCCACTGTTGGGGAAGAGGAAAATGATTGGGAGCATGTAAACCGCATGAACTGGCGTGGCTTAGGTCTTGCAGATCCAATCAAAAAGGTCGAGGTATTTTTTCGTTTTTGCGCATAGTTCTTTTTGCACTCATTAATGGTACATCAGGACAAATGGCTGTTGTTACCTGCATTCCTAAAAATCAAAGGTTTGGTCAAGCAACATATCGACTCCTTCAATTATTTTGTCGATGTGGATATCAAAAACATCGTGAGAGCCAACAACAAGGTCACCTCAGATGTCGATCCTCGCTTTTGGCTGAAGTACACGGATATCCATGTCGGTTTCCCCGATCGCACAGACTTGGATGCAATAGACAAGAGTATCACGCCTCATGAATGTCGGTTACGCGATATCACTTATAGTGCTCCGATTCTTGTCACCATTCAATACACTCGAGGAAAGAACGTTGTGCGCAGACCTAATGTTAACATTGGACGACTACCGATCATGTTGAGGAGTAATAAATGTGTGCTCACTGGCAGGAATGAAGCGCAGCTAGCTCGAATGACGGAGTGTCCCCTGGATCCCGGCGGTTATTTCGTTGTCAAAGGCACGGAGAAGGTCATTCTTGTTCAAGAGCAGCTGAGCAAGAATCGCATAATTGTCGAGACCGACAGCGTCAAGGGGATTGTGCAATCCTCGTGTACTTCGTGAGTCATTTTCTGGATCTTAACTTTTCTCCTTTGGCTAATTCGTGTTAAAGCTCAACTCATGGTGGACTCAAGTCCAAAACCTATGTTGCCACGAAAAAAGGGAAAATCTACCTTCGACACAATTGCATTCACGAAGATGTCCCGATTGTCATTGCATTGAAAGCGCTTGGTATCCAGTCCGACAAAGAGATTCTTCTTTTAACTGCTGGAAATACGGAGGCCTATAAGATTGCCTTTTCTGCCAACCTCGAGGAGTCTGCAAAGTCGGGCGTATTCACAAGACATCAAGCACTTGAATGGATAGGATCCCGGGTAAAAGTCAATCGAAAAGTTGTTGGTCCACGAAGGCCTGCCTGGGAAGAAGCCTTGGAAGCACTTGCGACAATTATCCTAGCCCATGTTCCTGTGATAGGTTTGGACTTCCGGTCCAAGGCGATTTTCGTGGCTACCATGACTCGCCGAGTTTTGATGGCGATGGATGATGAAAAAATGGTTGACGATCGGGATTATGTTGGAAACAAACGATTGGAACTGTACGTCTCTTTTCTCTTTTTATTATTGTCAATGGGTCAATGGTACCTAGTGCAGGGCAGTTACTTGCTTTACTGTTCGAAGACCTGTTCAAAACTTTCAATACCAATCTCAAATCAGCGATCGATAAAGTTCTCAAGAAGCCGTCAAGGACCAATGAATTCGACGCTTTCAATACGATGCAATTTCAGGGCGATCACATAACCGCCGGATTTGTACGCGCGATTTCCACTGGGAATTGGTCATTGAAGAGGTTCAAAATGGAGCGTGCAGGAGTCACACATGTTCTCAGCAGACTGAGCTTCATATCTGCCCTTGGAATGATGACACGCATATCATCCCAATTTGAAAAGACTAGAAAGGTCAGTGGACCTCGTGCTTTACAGCCTAGCCAGTGGGGTATGCTATGTCCAAGTGATACTCCGGAGGGAGAAGCCTGTGGTTTAGTCAAGAATCTTGCGTTGATGACGCATATCACCACAGATGTAGAAGAAGGACCAATTATCCGCTTGGCATTGATGCTCGGCGTCGAAGGTGCGTTCGGATCACATCATACCTATTTCTAACACGAAATGCACTGCCAGACATCAGCTTAGCCACGGGCACGGAGATATATGGACCACATACTTTTGTGGTTAACGTGAATGGCACAATTATTGGACTAACTCGGTATCCGATGCGATTTGTAACAAACTTCCGCAGACTACGCAGAGCGGGCCGCTTCAGCGAGTTTGTTGGTATTTATGTTAATCACCACCATCGCGCCGTTCATATAGCAAGCGACGGTGGACGAATTTGTCGACCAATGATCATCGTGGAGAACGGCCGCCCAAGAGTCACGTCAGAGCATATCGCGGTAAGATTCTTTTTCTGACATTAAAGCAGGTTGGTAATTCTTTGATCATTCAGGAACTCAAGCAAGGCGCTGCATCATTCGATGACTTCCTCCGAAATGGTCTCGTGGAATACCTCGATGTGAATGAAGAGAACGATTCCTATATCGCACTTTATGAGTCCGATATTGTCGCAACGACTACGCATCTGGAGATCGAGCCGTTTACTATTTTGGGCGCTGTCGCCGGTCTTATACCATATCCCCACCACAATCAATCGCCTCGAAATACCTATCAATGTGCTATGGGTAAACAGGCGATAGGCGCAATCGGCTACAACCAACTCAATAGGATCGACACGCTTCTTTACTTATCCGTGTATCCGCAACAGCCGATGGTCAAGACGAAAACCATTGAACTTATTGGGTACGACCGCCTGCCGGCCGGCCAAAATGCTACGGTTGCGGTGATGAGTTATTCTGGGTATGACATTGAGGATGCTCTCATTCAAAATAAAGTTTGCCACCATTTCCTGTTTTACATGTCAGCAGGTAACCTGACTTGACGTGTAGGCAAGTCTCGATCGTGGTTATGGAAGGTGCCAAGTTCTGCGCAAGAACGCTACTCTCATTCGGAAATACCCAAATGGCACGTGAGTGGAGCTTTTTGTCAAGTGCATCTCTTTGTCTCAGCATCAATCTCTAGCTTTGATCGGTTGGCAGATGCTCCCTTGGATGAGAACGGGCAAACTCAGAAAAAATATGATATCGTTCAACTTGACGGTCTTGCTGGCGTCGGCGAGCGGGTTGACCCGGGGGATGTCTATGTTAACAAGCAAACGCCAACGAACGCCAGTGATAATACTTTCAGTGGCCAAGCCGCCGCGGTCCCTTACAAGAATGCACCGATGTCATATAAATCCCCAGTTGCTGGTTACATTGACAAAGTCATGATCAGCGATACCGAAAACGACCAAACGTTGATCAAAGTCTTGATCCGACAGACACGGAGGCCAGAACTGGGTGACAAATTCTCATCTCGACACGGCCAGAAAGGTGTATGCGGTCTGATCGTAAACCAAGAAGACATGCCCTTCAACGATCAGGGAATCAACCCTGGTAAGGTATACATGTCCCTGGCTGATGTTCACTGAGTTAACTTTGGGGTCAGATACCATCATGAACCCACACGGATTCCCATCTCGAATGACGGTCGGTAAGATGATCGAACTTTTAGCAGGGAAGGTAATTCCCACCGACACTTACGAGTAAGTTCTGTGGGCTCATTTTTCTTGGCAGGCCGGGGTCTTAAGTGGTAAACTGCAGTACGGTACAGCATTTGGGGGCTCCAAGGTACATATATCAACGCTGCCGCCGATCGAACTCTGATTACTAATTATCTTACCACAGGTTGAAGACATGTCCCGGATCTTAATCGAGCACGGCTTTAATTATGCTGGAAAAGACATGCTCACAAGCGGTATCACTGGTGAAGCCCTGGAAGCATATGTCTATTTTGGTCCAATATACTATCAAGTCTGTCGATTCGCTGTGTCGCATAAGGTTTCAGCTAACTGATTGTCTCACAGAAATTGAGTGAGAGAAGTCCCACATTACCATCGTCCACGATTAACTCCCATGCGCCACAGAACACATGGTAATGGACAAAATGCACGCCCGCGCTAGGTACGATCGAATGAGCCTGAGAAATTCTGGCAAACTATTACTGACTTGCCTGCGTTTCTCTGAAGAGGCCCACGTGCGACTCTGACACGCCAGCCTACTGAAGGTCGGTCCCGCGAGGGTGGTCTACGGCTCGGGGAAATGGAGCGAGACTGTCTTATAGGTTACGGTGCAACTCAGTTGTTGCTTGAACGCCTGATGATTTCTTCCGACAAGTTCGAGGTGAACGCTTGCCAGGAATGCGGTCTCATGGGGTACAACGGGTGGTGTACATATTGCAAGAGTTCGAAGAAAATGGCTAAGCTCACCATTCCGTACGCTGCAAAATTATTATTCCAGGAGGTTCGTCAGCGTTCGTACACTGTTCAGTACTGATTATTTGTACAGCTGATGGCAATGAACGTCGTTCCCCGGCTGATCCTTGATGATGCATAATCCCTGTATAACATGATACAACACTTGTACAACTTAAGTCGATCCAAGAAAACGGCTCCATTCGAGGGATCAAATCTACTTGAGATATGGAAGACAGCCAATTTTGAGGGGTATTGATTGTCAGATCCAGAGTAACTAAAACTGCGATTTCCAAAACTCAGGCACTCAGGCTCCTTCCAACAATCTACTACCATTTCTCGAAGTATATGTCTTAGATCGAGAGAGATATCCTATCATAGGATTGATAACTTAGGGATAGCGCTAATCACGCTAAATTTGACTCGTTACTAATAAGATAGAGATCACGAACACTGATAAGATCGGTCCTTCCAAGTCAGAAGGTGGGTGGACTCTGATTGCCATGCCATGCGATAATACATGCTAGTGCATATACGAAAAGATGGGAGTGATAAAATTGAATGGCGGTGTTGTGCATCGAGGTATGGATACCAACAAAGGCCTAACGTAAAATGGTGATAGTGAAGACGTGAAAGTATGCAGTGCTCCGAAGAAATCGAATGGAATGTATCCCGGAGCCCTCGGGTGCGACAAACGGGAACTCTTCACACTGTTGAGATGCTCACGCTCGGTGCAAAACCGTTACTTGAGGCGTCCTTATAAAGTCAACTGAGTATGTCTGTCATTAGAGCTAAAGCTTGACGCCTTGACGTTACTAAGGTGGCGGCCATACCGGCCAACGTGGTATAGTTATGGAGGATACGTGAACTCATGCCGTCATTAATATTGTGCACGTTGAGCATGTTTGGCCAGACTACTCGGCTGATAGTATCGAGGGCGTTATTGTGTTCTGGTAACAGACGCCGATGCCGTGCAAATGTTCGTCATAACATATACGTGCATAATCGCACGAAATGTCAGTCTAAGCATTAATGCATATGACGATATTAATGTGCGAGTTGGCGGAGGGCTGGCAGGAGGTGGCTCAGAGTCCTGAATTATTACGACATTGCGGGGTGCGGGGTGAGAAGTATTCAAAACTTGGTTCCGAAGACAGGGATTACCCGAATTCAGGAGATACTTTGTCGTAGCCATACGCGTTCGGCCACCTGGCTACTCTAGATCCTTCTAGACCCCGGATAATATCGATGGAACCTATGCAGATCCCGAGGAGCCCAAACCCGGATCTAGGTTCATGGAATCACAATATACGTGTGTTCCGAGACTTTGTTCTTCGCTGCCTAGGTGTTACAAGACAGGTCTGGTCCAGCGTGATCCCGAAGTTCCCACAGTTATTGGGAGATCCTGGGGCGAAATTCGCAGAAAAGTTGTTGACGAACAGACAGAGACTCGCCTACGGGTTGGCCTGACCACTACTCTCCTATAATTTTTTTCCAAGCTCGCCCGGAGTGCAAAAGTAGAAGTTTTCCAGAAGGCGGGAAGGGTTGAATATCGATGCCGGCTTGTATGCCCGCCATACCTTGGGGAGCTAGTCAGATCCAGGAACGAGATGAAATTATCAAGATTTTACGAAAGTTACAACGAGCCCATACGGACCGTCATATAGCTTTACGCCGAGGACCACGTGCCCTTGGCAAGGTTCCCGACTGAGGATGTGAAGTTGAAGAAGTCGTCCAATCCTGTATGTGCGGCCCTGCGGGTCGAATTCTACCCGAAAGTATATCTGTGATAGGTATTATGATCCAGTATGATTCAGGGTCCTGCTTCTCATTATTATGGTGATATTGAATCATTTGTCCACAAGCAAGGAATGTGCCTTTGAATGGGGGTAATCGAAATCTCTCACAGTAAATGGGTTGTGTGTTCCCCCCCAGGTTCCCTAGCGGCAAGCTGTACCCGCCAAGGGCGTCCGCACGGAACAACTTTGAACACCGAGGACAGTGCCTGCCGTTATAGGATAAACAGTTCGGCACTGCAACCCGCCACCACAGGCTACACTGCATATAACCTGAGCGTCGTAGATGAAAGACCGGTCCGTAAAGTCACCGTTCATATGGCAAGTATCGGATGGCAGTGTTGTCTAGTGTTGCCAGGTGTTGTCATCTTGACATCTGTTTTTTTAAAAGTAATGCGGATACGTCCTGAAACGTCAGACGGCATGTATCTCTGCACACAGTGGCGGACCTTTGATAATAAATGCGTGAGACCTCAGATCTCATACCTTAAGTTCCGCACATCTGGTCATATTACCCTCCGAGGCAACCTTTTAATGCTTCAGTCTCGGGCTGACGTGGGAGAGCAATGCTCCAAGTCAACTCTAGTTTGTGGTCATTGCACTGTCACGAACTTCTAGCCAATCACGTTTCCAATGAGCAGTTCCGTGACATCCTTTACTAGTTCTGGGCAGGTGAGTCTTCAGAAGGAAGTGACTCGAAAGGATATCATTACGTTGCCTGTATAGATTCCTTCTGGTAGAAGTTTGATGAAGAGCGCTGTGAAGAACGGAGTGCGCACATGAAGAATAGTGTGACGAGTGGGTTAAAATGTGTTCATGCGCGTGAAATTATACGAGAAGAGACCGTTGTTGAAATTTGAAACGTTGAAGCCCAGGCCTTGGGCTGATTGTGCATTACGTATACCGGTTGTGTCGAATATTACCATTTGTGTCAAATAGTATAAGCGCTCAAGTCACTATACGTGGTCTACGGTAGACTCGGTACCAACATCTTCCATCTCTTATCCGACATTCACTTGAATTTCTCACCATGAATACAAAGGGCAGTAGTGCAACTGCACTACGACGATTAATGACAGAGTACAAGCAATTGACCTCAGGAGGTTGATACTTTGGCGTCTTATGAATGATACAGTTGACACTCACTGGGTTCCAACTTTCCAGGCTCGCCCGACGGGATGTTCACCGCAGGTACATATATCAACAACAGCATCGATATATCATTGACATAATCCCGCAATTTGACTTCTAGGGCCAATCTCAGAGTCGGACTTCTTCACTTGGGAAGCGCTTATCTGTGGTCCAAAAGACACACCATTTGTAGGTTTTTCCGCGACCTTTCGCAAGGCGTACTAGATCATGTAATTGGCATTTCAGGAGGGTGGCGTCTTTGTCGCCAAGCTCACTTTTGTAAGATCACATGTCATGTCGCAAATGTAACTCAAGTGATGGGCCATAGCCACAGGACTATCCACTATCGCCTTTCAAGATGAAATTCGACCCTCCTTATTCCATCCGAACAGTGAAGTCATCTGCTTAATGTATTTGATCACCGTACTGATGGTACGCAGTTTATCCGGATGGGAACGTCTGCATATCGATCCTCCACACTCCCGGGGATGACCCTACCATGTATGAACAAGCATCTGAAAGATGGAGCCCCGTGCAGAGCGTTGAGAAGGTGATCTTGAGTGTTATTTCCATGCTTGCCGGTACGTTCACCGGATCTGATCCTCATTCTGGCCTTCTCTTGAACTTCACTTGATAGAACCAAATCTGGAGAGTGGCGCTAACATCGACTGTTGCAAATTGTATCGGGAGAACAAACTAGTGAGCGCTGAATTCACATCATGACATATCTCATAAACATAACCCTTTCACATAGGAATATGAAAGGCTGGTCAGCGAGTCGATTAGGCAACAACTAGGTGTATGAGTAACGTGATATGTAACACTAGAATATAATACGTTGCCAGCACGTTCCATGGATGCAGTAATTCGCCGAACTAATCTACTTGGAATAGGTTATACGAGATGACGAGCCTTATTGTAAGTGTGACGGAACTGAAAACTTGTTGTAATATCATTGTGAAGGGGCATGACGCTTGAAAACTCTGTTGTGGTATCCTGGGCCCGTCTTGCCAAATATGTGGCGTTCTACATACTCATTGCGAAACATCCCACGAGGGTCGACCGACACAAGTACACGGGTGAAGTCGTCGAATCGAGGATACAATGTGCGAAGTGTTTCTGGGCGGAGGTGATGTGCCTTGGCCCAATGAGGACGGCCGCCGTGACGGCACAAAATGGCTTCGAAACGCTCGAACAGCAGTCTGTACGGGACCTCGAACCCGTAGGGTCTTTGGCAAGTCTCAGCAAGTGCAGAAAAGATAAAATAAGAGACGCACTTAAACTGGACAATCCCAATCCAACAAGTCCTCTGTCCGTTGCTGGGACTCAGCCAGATATCGTCACTGTCAGAGAATCGAACTTCGATGGGGAAATGGGGGCGGAGACCATTAGGGTCAGAGAATTCGCGCATTAACCAATCATGCAAATCATGAAGACAGGCTTTCGTATTTTCGTAGGGGATAGCCCATTCGGTAGTGTGCTGCGGGTACTACAATGGAGTCAGTAACGTGGGACGAAGAAAAAATGCTTTACCCACTCTGCATTCCATGTTAAAGATACGGAAGCTATCATCGATCGCGATTACTTTGGTGCTGACCAGCCATGATGCAAAACGACCGATAAAGATGTTCAATGGCAAGATGAATCTTGCCACAAAAAGTAGAAATTGCACCACGTGAAAACCGATCAATGAATGCCAGAGCCAGCTTCCCGCTGGTTTGGGTGGCTGGAGGGGATTACGTTGGAAGTGTAGATAAGCTGAGCACAGGAACTCACCTCTACGGTACGATCGGCAGAACTAACTCGCATGGTATCCGCAGCTGGAAACCACCAGAACCGAACATGCTCAGAGGCAGTGACGAGGCTGTCCAAGCTTCGCACACATTCATGAAACTGGATTGTTTGTTGGACCTCTTTGAGGCGAAATGCGGGCTCCACTTCAAGGGTAACCGTCAAGATAAGGCCCGTGCTGCCCAATCCGCATATTGATGCTGTGAATAGATCGGGCCTCTCTTGGCGAGAACAGAACACGCGAGATCCATCCGCGAGCAACAATGACAGTCCCATGACATGCGTAGAAATAACGCCATAGTTGATGCCTGTTCCGTGGGTAGCGGTCGTGACGATACCGCCCAATGTCTGGTCGGAAATCGAGCCGACATTAATCATGGCAAGACCATGGACTGCGAGTTCGGCATGGAGTGCATCAAGTGTAATTCCGGCCTGAGCGACGATATATCTTTTATCTGCATGGATCTGAACAATTCAACATCAGCATTAATATTACGCGCTTACGTGCTAATGATAAACCAATGATGAATGGCCAGAACATTTCCGCCAGTGGGTCGGGGATTTGAAACAAAGTTTAACCGAATGAGTCTAAAATTATGCTTACCTCCAAAAGCCGGTCGAGCTTGGTGGTGCGTAGCATGTAGCCAGTGGTACAGGCGAGGTCACTGGGACTATGACCGACTCCGACAGCTCGGACCACTCTGCCTTCACGCCGCGCGAGCTCGAGAATGAGCTCACACTGAAGTTCCGTTGCCGGCTCGAAAATTGCGAGTGGGGAACAAGTGAATGTCCGACTCCAATTGGTGAACTTGGCATTGGAAGGGACTGTTATTGGGTGAAGTAGGTCATAAAGCTGGGGGAGAGAAATAGAGGAAAGGTGAAGCATCGATGTCGGCGTCGACATTGCGAGGACAAATGGCGAGGAGATTGGCCATGCATTGCAAAGGCTTTATAAGTTTTTGGGTACGACTCATATGTCAACCCGATCCTCTGTAAGACAGGTCGGGGAACTCCGATGATAAACGGATATGACCGGATGTCGCAGAGTGTGGACGAGAGTGGAGGTAACGCTCGAAGGCAATGTAGGCACCAGGTCACATAATCCGAGATCGGGTTTTAGGATCTCCTCACCCACAGGCTATTACACTTGCGGCCAAATCGGAGGATTCTGATGCCCCCGTGGCAGAAAACGTGTGAGACCAGTCCCCGGATCTGACATGGACAGATAAAGCTGCTTGATCATCGACGACATACCTGCGAATTCAATCACCGCCTCAGGATCGGCCGTGAATCCCACATGGCTGTCAATATAGAGGCACCTCCTTGATAGTTTTACAGCAAACCACACTACTACATTTCCGTTGTCGTTGCGTTGGCAAATTTTTTGCCGCTCTCCCACGGGAATTCGACTCTTCCGTTCCAGCTTTATGTCACCCCCAGGAACACATCATAAACATTAATAATACTCTGGCTCAAGCAAAAGTCTTACTTGCAGTCACCATGCCAATCAATTGAGGAAATCAAACACAACTCGACTCCATTCCTGCCCCTCGTAGAACAAAACACCCCGCACCTCCGCACTATCAATCTCCAGACCAAGTTCGAATTCTGCGAACAAAGATCAGCTCAAGTCTTTCAAAAGCAACTACAACCACAAGCCTGTGAAGAACCCATTTGGCTGCGGTATGCTGGCATTCTGTTGAAATGTGGGCAGAGAACTTAGATTAACAGTCCATCTACACAGCTCCACCGTTTCGCCCTTCATAAAGTATAGGTCAGTGATACGCTGAAAATATCCGTGACGCCACATACTTCATCAGTGTATCGCATCATCTTGTCCGAGTCGGAAGTATACAACACCGCTACGAAGATACAATCTGCGTATCTATCAGTATCATGATGATCAACGTAGAGCTGCATCGCACCCTGTCCATCCTGCGAGAATTTGCTGCATTTGCAAGTTAAACTAAAGTCCAGCTGTGCCAATTTAATTGGGGCACTTACCAAAATTTCGTCCTCAATATTTGGCTTGAACAAGACAAGGTCAACAAGAGATCACTCTGAAGCAGATCGTCAGTTACCCTTTTCGCAGAATAGCACCCTTCATGACCAAGTATTGCAAGCTAGGTCCGGTAATCAATACATTACGCCGGAGAGCCATGAACCGTCATTACCGGTTGTCACAAATAGGAATGTTCGCATTATTCTCTTTGATATATGCAGGGCGTTTGGCCCAGTCCTCTGGTTCCGCGGGAAGCTTCACCTGGGCACACAATCAGAACAGGCTAATAAAGAGTCTAAAGTGTGAACACCCACTTTCATAATGTAGGACCGTGGAGCGATCACAGTGGATACAATTGATTTGCGAGAAAGTCCGTACAGTGCGGCACCTCGCACTGTAGCCGTGTCGGCGTCAGAAGGGCGAGCGATGACTTTGATTCTCCCCGAAAATTGCGCCTGTCCCACGAGGGTGTGTAAGAACTAATCAGTCGTCCATGACACTTCACTCGTGTAAACTCACCTCGACTCGTCTAATGAGGTATTCGCTCCCAGCGAAGCCTCCCACGAGAAGCAGGGCGTCGATACGCTGCTCTACCTTCTTCGACTGTTCTTCGATCATTTCGAGTACCTGTCAAAATACCATGACCCTAGCGAAAATAGCAAAATTTCACGACAAAATTTACCTGGTTTACAACGGGATCAAAGACCTCTCGGCGAATGAGATTCCCTGGAATCGCGAGTTCTCCATTAATCAGTCCAACAGAAGAATCGTGGGGATCCTGCACATTGAAACATGTGAAGTTGAAGTATGTATCTGCAGATAGTGCGTATAAGCGTGAGAATCCGAGGGTAAGAATTTCGATAACCATCGTCACCCTCGCCCCTAAATGCAAGCTTATCGGTTTGGCTGAAAGAATGCATAAAATAGGCGAGACTAGCGGCGTCCAAATGAGCAGGATGGTCAGCTAAAAGAGTTTTCACGAGTTCTCGGAATCGCAAATCGAGGAAAAGGGAACCGCAATTGGCTCCAGATCGAGCACACATCTCGGCGATCTCGAGGTTAGACATTTGCCCAATAATTTTGTAGACGGCGAGGTCCTGTTGCCGCAGAATGCATCAGGTGCGTGAAACAATTCATCAGAAGAAAACGTACGACTGTACCACCACCGGCGTCACATATCATAAAATTCTGGTTGGGCTTGAGCTTGTGCAGGTCCGTAAGTCTGGCGCAGTGGACAGCTGCAGCCTCTGGTTCGCTGAAAATAAGTGAGCTGAATGAAGGGGGGGAGCACACAAAAGATATCGTACGTGATAATACGCAGCCTGTCGCGCCAGTTACCATCACCTGCATGAGCCGATTGCACGAGGCCTGCGGCAATGGCAGCTTCGCGCATCATGTCGCATCCTTTAGCGTCCCAGGCTGCCGGGCACGTCACGAGCACATCAGCCGTGTCTAAAAGAACAACGGATAAATTAGGGTATCCATATCTTTGATGTGGTCACTGACTGAGATCTGCGACAGCACCAATGTCACGGGTAATTTGTTCTTTAGCGTACTCCCACAGACACGATAAGAAGTCGATAATGAGATCCATTGCTGTTTTACCAGGCTAGAATACCGTAAATTTGATGCCATAAGATGAGGGGATGACACAAACAGGTAATTGGGGTAGTCGAGGGTCAATCGCACTTTCATCACGAAGAGCACGTGGTTCGAGAAAAAGCTTGAACCTTGAATGAAGTATCTGAATCAGATAATTTTGGCCCATTATAAAATCCCCACCATTCACATCGCGTAGTACCGGGCATGGAACTGGCGTTCTTCGCTTCTAGTCCCCAAGCAAGAACTTGACCATGTTCATCGTATAGCAAGCACGTGGGCACCTTGCGGAAAGTTTCAAAAGATCCGGGCCAATGAAGAATTTGCTGTATCTTCCCGGACGCAATTCGAGACGAGGCATATGCCTATTCGCGATGAAAACCGTGAGCTGCAAAGCCTTCATTGAATCATCTTAACTCACGACACCAGAAAAGGTAGTCCCTGAATTCAAGTCAGGACAAGACTTTGCCAGAAACAATGTGAGTACTCACCGAAGTCAATAGAAATCGACATTTTCCCCTCGTTTGAAGGTGCCGGATCAATCCTAGCTGAAACTACTGCAGTGGATATAGAGGGTGTGACATTGTTGTTCCTTGGTGGAACATGGACGGGGTCAGGGTGCAAGAGAGGCGGAAAGAACCCAGTAGAAATTGACGGTCCTGAAGAAACATACGTAGCTGGGGGTGGTGTCAATGGTACTCCTGGAAGGTTTGGACTCAAAGGAGCTGAATAAGTCGGGCCTGGGGGAGGTGGTGAGGGCGTGTGAATCCAAGGAGTGTTATCGATCGACCGGTTGTTCTGGTGAAAGCTTTGTGGAGGTGGAGAAGGCCCAGGAGGGATGAGCAATGATGGTTTCTCTGCAAATGGCTGTATGTGATGTTGAGCGCCTGGATGAGGACCAGGCTGCTGGCTAATGATACCATTGTTCACTGGTTGCACTCTGTTGGCATACTGAGTGTCAGGAGCACTGACTGACTCCCCACAGCAGCCCATGTTGAAAGCAGCGAAAAAAAGAGCGGAGCTAGGCAATAAGTATGTCTTACCTTCAACACGACAACTGGGCCTGGCGTGGCAGTGCAGGTGCCGACCAAGCGAACTGCAAGCGTCAAACTAGCGCCCACCTAAGCTCGTGACCACGAACAAGTCGAGCGGCGAAGTCCAGTCTTAGAGATGTACAAATGTTGATAGTGATGGGCGCGTTGACTCGAATTCAACTGGAGATTATGCTATTATGCCACCGAGTGTTGACGGCGACTTGATAGGCTACGACTCGGACACACGGTGCATTAGTAGCACTATACAGTAGGCTGAGTTACGCATGGGTCACGAGGACTTGAGTAGACTCATCCGAAACACTCAATGGGGCTTCTCACTTATGACCACTTGCCGCAGTGAAATATATTATTTAATATTTGTTGAGTATTGGTACTACGTCATCAACAAATGTAATCAAATTTATTCTCTTACCAATCTGATAAGACAGAATAACGAGCTCTCGCACATACATTATTTATGACTCCATATCTGTCGAAGGGACTTGCTTGGCTGCTACTTGTACCGGGGAAGAATACCTGATGGGCAAAAATCACGGTGATTGCAACGGTTCCTGTAGACGGAAGCCCGTAATCAGATGAGATCCGGAAAAGGCTATGACTCCGAGCATCCTCTCGAATCAGAGATAGACACCAGTGGGATTTTCCAGCACGGTAGCTGCCACAAACCCAAGTCAGGCCCCAGGCTGGTGTCTATATCATCAGCGCTGTCGTCCACTGTGAGTACGGATTATCAATACTGATAGGTTGGTTGTCGATGACGATCTTTTGGTAATAATGCAATCGGCTAACCTGTGTGACCGTCCGTGAATGGGAATTGCCCCCTCACGAGAACAAGTAAGAAACCACAGGGTGATTTCTGCGCCACTTATGTACGAGGCATGACATGATGTGTCAGTGAATCTTGTGCGTCTTGAGTGCAGACAGCCGAATGGCCCACCATGATACCTCGCACAGAGGTGTCTGATTCCTTCCCTTTTAAGCGATAACCATTCGGGGAAATTCCAAGTATCTTGGTCTTCCTTTTCGTACAGGATGTGGGATATCCATGTCATAGTGGTTCCTCTTTTACGAGTCGCACGTTGTAGAATGGTGGCACAGGGTAGCACCGATTACTTCCACATGAGGTGTCTGCTCCTGTCATTACACTCCAAATGTGGTTGATCGCCCTGGATTGCTTTTCGTTACGTTTGCTGTGTGTCCGAAATCCGGCCGCGGATGCTGACCGGGAAGGGTTGGCAATAGCTCCAAATCGCTCCCGATCCTCAAGCGATGCGGCAGCCAGTAACTGTCAGTTACTGTTGGACGGGTTTAAAAATACCATAAACGATGAACCAAAACCCCTTTGAATGAACTTGGAGCTTCCCGCGAAGGTTTGCGAAGGTTTGCACAAGATTGAAGGTCCGATTCGGAGTGCCTAGTACGTTAGGTCGTAGGTTTGCGAAAAATTGATGTCGGTCCTCTTGTTGCAGTGCTAGTAAGTACAAAGGTCCAAGTCGAAAAGTATGTATTCACGCGACATGCCGGGACCATCTAATTGTCATGATCAACCCTAGATCTCAGAAGTTGAACTGCCATGGTTGCCTCCAAGGCGACACAAAAGCTGTCCAGTATCGCTTCATCATGGCCTGTTGATCCATTTCGTCCAAATATCCAACTCAAGAACTTCTTGAAATCCCTCTCTGCGCATCCTAAGCTAACCTCTGAGGCTGTCCAAGCAGCACAGCTACTGCGGGACAATGCCATACAGACAAGGGTGAGTGCAACCACATGTGTTCTCATGCATGATTAACGGACTATTGTCAAATCTACGCCTTCCGCATTCAGTACGCACTGTCAGCAAAAACACTTCAGCCGGCTTCTATGCCAAGGCACTATGAACGGCTTGTGGAAGGATATGAAAGAAGTGCAAGAGGTGCCGGGAGACCTTGGTGGAAGGTCTTCTTTGGAGTATGGAAATAGTCATGAGATATCAACCCCTTTGTGACCTCTCGTTTCCGCTGAACTGCAGTTGTCCTCGCGTGAGTTTTTTCTACTGTTCCGCGCTTGGTGGAGCGGAAGGCTTGTCACTCACTAGAAGCTCAGAGTATGTATAGAAAGGGCCTTACATGATATCTTAATCTGAGAATAGATGCCAAGGTCTGCACGATACCGAATCAGCATTCCAAGTTCTGATGTCCTCGGATCCATCCGATCCATCCAGGCTTAGACTTATATATCTCCATCACTTTGCCATAATTTTATGGTGAAACTTCTGGCTGTCGTTATATTTGGCGCTAACAATTCCGCTTCGCGACTTTGTAGACTCAGATATTTCAAATTCACCTCATTAAATAAACCCCATGTGATCCATGTCTCCTGAGAGTCCAAAGGGATATGTAACCAACGAACCTCCCGCTTCATCGCGGACAAATCTGTGGCAAGTCAACCTAAGCTAAATCGGGGTCATGCAACCGCATGCTCTGTTGTGTAGAACAGCGCCAGCTTGTCGTTCCAGAAGGTCATAGCGCGGAACAGAACGCTGTAACATCAATTCGGTCCTCGCCGGATCTCATAATTCAAAAACATTGAAACGAGGCACAGCGCGATCGACGAAAGACGGCTGATACCGCTCACGTTAAGACAGTTATTTTCCATGGAAGGATGAAATTGGGTATGTATTGTGCAAGCATTGTGGAGGTGGAGAGCGTCCCGGAAATTAAAACGCGGAACGAAACGCTGACGGTGACTTCGGTCCTCGCCGAATGCCTTTGAAAAGAAGTGAAGAACGATCATTGTTCCGCGGACAGAGGCTCAATACTATTCCTCTCGCGTTCTGGGAGGACCCAATTGGGGAAGCGGCCCCTTGATTATCATTCCATTCGGCGTCTTGTGTCAAAATAATTAACGGCAGGTAGGCAGGCTGCAAGATGCCCGTACCAATCTAGTCTTCTAAGATCTCATCCTCGCCTTTGTTGGCCTGTGACGACATCAGGAGTATCCACACCAGGGCAAAGAGATACACGTACCTTATCGATCATCCTCTTGCGCTTTTCCCTACTCTTTCGTTGCACTTTGAGGTACTTTCCCAGGGGTGACTCCTCTATCTCCACGTTGGCCTCCCACTGTTCGACCTCATCCATTTTTCCTGGGCCGAAATTGATGCCTGAGCGTGACTGGTCTATCCATTTTGCACAGTCTTCCACTCGCTCTAGAAGGCCCTTTACCATTCCGGCTTCCTTTCCTAGCTCCTTGCAATTTTTGAGTGTTCGGCGGAGTGTGACAATGATGGGCACGATCAGTTCAGGGAATGCAACGCTTCCATGTACTGGGCCGCTGCCAAGCCACTCCGCGAGAAGGAATACCGTTTCCTCCACAAGCCCCGCTGCATATACCCGTGTCCTAACGTACTGTGCCGGAGCACGTATATGCGTTTCCATGTCGAAAGGGCGCAGCGTGGATGACTTGGGCTTGCCAGATGCCGTGAGGGTAGATGAAATTATAGGAAGGAGATAAGGTGTTAGCGGTACGTAAATACGTGTGTGTCGAGTCAGATGCAGCATCGAGCGTGCGATGTGTAAGTGGAATGGATACGACCGTGAATTCGAAATGAGCCTGCGAAGGAGATAAGCACAAGAAAAACCATACGTGGAAAACGTACTTGATTGCACCCAGACTGACCTGCACGAGTGGGTAGATCAGTGGCCTTAGCTCGCTCTCCTGCCCCCCTCGTTTGGCTTCCGCATGTGCATCGCACGCGCGGCCCAGCACAAGTGCCCAGAAGTCGACGCAATGCGCGTACTGCCAGTTGTAAACCTGTTTGTATGCCTCCTGAAGGTGATACAAGACGTCAGATCTGCCGCCCAAGCTACCCACGAGGATTTACTTACTTTTGTTTTTGTCTTCATGCCCCCACGCAGGAGTATTGCAAGCTGGCGTATGTACCCAAATGCATGCGGGTATGTTGCTCCATGGTCTACACAAAACAATTCGCATGCGGAGTTCTTCATGAGCGTAATGGATGGTAGTCGATAGGTGCTCGTAGACTTGCACGCACGCACGAGCGCCAAGTAAGTGCTCTGTAAGGTTGGTCTGCACCAGGAGAAGTAGCAGGCATCAAAGTCTCGCGTACCTTGAGCACAAGATCCACGATAGAGTCATCAGTGGAAGACGCAAGTTGACGGATAGCGAGAAACGCAGCTATCCGTACGTCATCTTCACCTGTGGACCACAATTCTAGACATTTCTGTGTCGGGGTCAGCCTCATCAAAGACGAATAGAAGGGCGAAAAGGCAAAACAGAAGACAAGTACTGTCGTAATGAAGGATTTTAAGCAGGAACACAGTAGACTTGGACTCGCCTTTAAGTACGTTTTGACGGCCTTACGGCTAGAGACGACGTAAGGGAGGATCTTTGCGCTCTCTGTGAGCGCGAGTCGTAATGTCTCCGGGTCGGTGAGCTGAGGGATGAGGTGAACCACATTGTTGAAGTAAGACAGAGTGAGTTTTTGCAGCGCTTTTTGCTTTGCAGATTGTGAAGGTTGTTTACTGATGGTAGACGGAATATTTCAGGGCAAGACCATATGGAAAGATCGAAGGACACACAATTTACCGTTCGGAAGTGTTTTATATGGGATGTGATGGGCTAGGACAATTGGCGTATACCGCAGGGAGGTCGTTACAAGCTTTGTATACACTGTCGGAAAAACCAATTCGGCTACAAATTGCGATACACGAGGATGCGATGCTCACCTGCGGCATTGTCAATTCGCCATAAAAGAACCTGGTCGTCTTCATTCATATGCACTGCAGAGCGGAACGCAATGAGCAGTTTGCGGAGGGCTCGCAGGGAACGATGCTGTGACCATCGGGTCAGCAGTGCACGTATGATGAAAGAAAGATATATAATTCACCTCAAGGAGGGCTTTTTGCCAGGTTTTGAGAATGGTAGTAGTAAGAATAGGTAGCTCCTCTCCCATTTCTTCTTCTTCATTATCGTCTCCGTCCATGACATCATCTTCGTCATCCATTTCATCGCGGCCCTCTTGAGTGGTAGTAAACTCGAGAAGCTCGCGATCATTCTCCTGTAGATATTTGTAGAACTCAGGGTCCTTCTCCGCGAGTTGTGCGAGCTCAAGCATGTGACTTGTGCCATGATCTACAACAGCGTAAGCAAAGCATATAAGAATCGTGTAGGCACTCACCCTCAAGATCATCTACAGACGCAAAGGACTGGTCGTCTGCTACGTCTTCCTCATCTTCGTCTGTATCCAACTCATCGCCTCCAGCATCATCCTGCGCGTATCAGAATTGCACTGAGTGAAGAAAATAATAACGGTCCTACCTCATCTTCCTCCGCATCATTGTCATCATCCATAAACTCTGCTCCGAGCAAGTCCTCGACAGTCATTTTCTTCGCACTGGAGTAGGATTCTCAGTATTCAGACAAAAGATGAGATGGCAATTAATCAACTGACTCTTTCCCTGCTTTTTTAGATACTCCCTTAACCTCTTTTTCATCATCGTCGTCGTCTTGTTCACTACCCTCCGCTTCAGTAACGGCCGGTTGCTTTCCCTTTCCGTGTGCCCCACGTCTCCCTTGAATTTTCTTCTGCATCTGCTGGTGCTTCTTCCGCGAGCTGAATTGCCTGCTTCAATTTGCCACTCGCCGCGAATTTGCGGCTAGACTTGGCCGCCTTCCCCATGGTTTCAAAGAAAGTAGTTATTCGACTTTCGAAACGTAGTACTGTAGGGAAAACAGACAGAGGAGCATGGGACGTAGCACTGCAGAAAATATTAATATGATCCGAATCAAATATACTAAAAGAGGCAAGTCTCCAAAGACAGACACAAGGCTTGGACCAACCACCATACACTCACTGTCAACAGTCATGACAGAAATTAACTCCATACCGGCAGCAGTATCGAGCACGACGGATGTACTGAACTCTGCAAACAGTCTGCTCACGTCCCATCGGGAGCTACTCACATACGTGCGCAATTCACAACGGGCACATCGACGTCAGCTTCGTGCTCTCGCAATTGCACCCAACGATCTGGTAAATTTCCCATTAATTGATTCTCCTGCACCATCACCGCTGCATTCCCCACCGTCATCACCCCAACTTGCTCCTCGTACCCGCCCACAACGCCAAGATCTCCATCCTGCAAAACGCGCGAGGGTCGCCCGCTACGCAAATTATGTCCCAGAAGAAGAAACGATCCGCAATGACTACTCGCAGCGGTACGTCGACAGCGGTGAGTGGCCGCAAAATCGGGTTCTCGGTGCGGAGCCTTCCCGCCGTTTTGAGGAGTGCGTCCGCTACCTGCTGCTTTGCATCTGACCTCATGTTAATTGCAGATACCCAAAGCAGCAGCGCTTGCTCAGCCTGAAAAAGGAGTCTGTTGACGCGCATGCTACACCTCCATTTTTCCTTCCTTTTCTCACCTCTCTTCATTACATCCCCAAAAGTTCGACGTCATCCTTCTAGACCCCCCGTTCTCCTCATCTTTTGGCTGGGACGATCTTCAAGCTCTTCCTGTGCCTTCTCTCGCGGCCGACCCTTCATTTGTATTCATGTGGGTAGGTAGTGGCGCAGGAGAAGGTCTCGAACGTGGTCGCGAGGTCCTTGCTAAGTGGGGCTACCGCAGGTGTGAGGATGTTGTATGGGTAAAAACCAACAATACGACCAATCGCGGGCCAGGGGTACGCATCACAGCTACCCGGTACCTATCTATCTGTAAACTAACGCTATTTACATAGACAGATCCACCTACTACTTCTCTTCTGACCCGCACAAAACAGCATTGCCTCATGGGTATTCGCGGTACGGTACGTCGCTCGACTGACAGCTGGTTTGTTCACTGCAACATTGGTGAGCCCATTTTGTACTTGCGGTTCTTATCATTTTATTGTCCACACTCGTTCATGATGTATACATCATGCCCTCTGGAGAACTAGACACTAATTTAGTTCGCAGATACTGACGTCATCATCTGGGAAGGTGATACCGCCGACCCAATGCGCAAACCACCCGAAATGTATACCCTTATAGAAAATTTCTGTCTCGGCACCCGCCGTCTTGAGCTTTTTGGGCGAGCACGCTCGTCCCTCCGCCGCGGGTGGGTCACAGTGCTGACTGCAAGCGATGGGGCTAAAGTAGGGGAGCATGCGCGGACTACAGAAGGCGATGCCGTGCACCCATGGAGCAAGGATTCATGGGAGGAAGCGACTCGACACCTGACTTCACTCGCAGGGGGGAAGTGTGTCGTGCCAAATTCACAGGAAATTGACGCTCTCCGCCCTAAATCCCCTATGCGTTCTGGTAATTCAGGTGTGAGTGGCGGAGTTGGGGTCGCCATCAGTGGTGGCGTAGGCGTGGGTGTAGGGAGTGCTGGGGTGGGCATGAATGCGGTAAATATGAACGCCGACCCCAACATGAACATTCAACATTCCCGTCGTCCGCCTTCCCAAAATCAAATGATGGTATCTCCAATGATGGGGATGGGGATGCCGATGGACATGGGCATGGGCATCGGGAACATGATGGGGATGGGAATGGGAAACATGGGCATGATGGGGATAGGGAACATGGGAGTAATGGGAATGGGAGACATGCCTGGTGCTGCATTCCAATGGGTAGGGGATGGTGATCGAATTTGGGAGGATGGAATGATGGCTGGTATGGGCATGGGGAATACGGGAATGGGGGTAGGAGGTCCGGGTATGGGGATGGGGATGGGAAACTCGAGGATGGGTATGGGCGGCATGGGGATGCATGGGCAGTGGGGTCAAGGGTACGACGGATTCCAGTGAGAGCCAATCTTGTACGTGTAGTGTAGAGTTATGCAGGTTACTGGACGTGCACATACAGACTGTATCATACTTTGCATCCGTCGGCGCCTCTATTTATTTACATACTGTAGTGGATGTATTCATCTATGTAATCTTATTGAGAATATTCTGCAACATCACGCAGTATATTATGGTATGTGCAATGGGTTTAGTGGATGTCAGGTATGAGCCGGTATCTGACTACCTCTCCCACCCGTGTTTGGAGATTGACTTCACGACTTCACGAATCCGACGTACGAGGCTTATCATAACAATTGTTCTCCACGCCAGTGGCGATGTCACTATACAGGCATTCCCAAAACTCTAGCCTAGAGAGTATAGAACACCTGAGCATGAAAGCAATGAGGTCCACGATGTGCGCAAGATCAACAGGCCGACGAACTGCAGAAGAACTTCCGATGGCGTACGATGGCGCATGATTCATTTGCGAGAGACTGTTGGCCCGTGCGGACACTGATTTGAATATAACAAGGCGACCAAGGGTGCGGAAACATCACTAACGGATGAATGCCCCCGCGACAACAAGGGCTGTGCCGAAAAGGGAGGGTAAAATAATTGTCTTGAGCCCTTTGAAGCGGATCGACCGCGTGTTGTGCTACGCTGTGAACTGTTTGGGGGTCCGTCAGGTGAGAGGCAGTGATAGCGATTTCTGCGGAAAAAAATAGTCCAAAAAATAGCCTGATGAAACATGTCTACCAGACGGTTGTGAATAACCCACAACCAGTTACCTTTGTATTCGGGACCGTGTATTTCACCTGTTGGATCATAATCGACTAATTAAGTGTTTCGTGACCTCGAGGGTTACCCAAAGAGACGTGGAGGGTGCGTGCATCATAGCATTTTGAGGGGGGACTCCCCACGAGCAACTTTCGACCTTTTGCAGTTGATTTGATCCGATTCCGTGCGAATGCACCGTTGTAGCCAGGGATCGAAGTAGATCGCAGTGGAGATGTTTGATCTAGGCACCAACTGTCAGTACCAGAAAAGTCAGTGTCGAAATAAGAATATAAGATAACGCGTTTGTACCGCTTTACCCCCATGATAAGAGGTACCGGAGGTTCAGTTGTGCGTTCCAATGAGACGATTGAGTGGTTTAAGCTACCTGAAGCGTTGCCGATAGACGGCCTGGTAAGACTCGATTTGCCTTCAAGGGAAAAGATGAGTGAGATAACGATGAGGTTGTATTTAGACGCGTATACGGTGTGCGTAGCGCTCAACTCATGGTTCCGCACCCTCGCTATTTACAGCTCAGTTATTAAAATATCTCGAAGCACTTATCTCCGTTTGCCTAGAGTGACAGCACGTTCTAGCACATCTCAGCACGTTCATGGCAGAGCCGCTATCAGCTCGCTAAGTTTATGTGCATGTGTCAATTTTTGATCAGTTAACGACACGGAATCTGATGCAGACGTACCTTCCCTTCTGGGGTAGCTACTGATAGTATTGAAATAGACCCAAGGTCCGATCACAAGGCCTACGACCCTACGATGAGATTTTCACCTACATATTGCTTCGGCCAGTGCTTGTGTCAGATTCATGGGAGATCATAGGTCCATTTGGTAAGTAAGAGTGGCTTATCGCCTTCACAGAATTCGACAGGAGCGCAGAAATAAACGCACCTGTGTTTGGTGACCGCCGATGTTATCAGGGCGCCGCGTTCGTAGGCCCGGTTGACTGTTACAGTTCGATTTTTAACTTCATCCAAATGACGATCCTAATTCGCAACGTGATCTTCTTAACTTGGGTGCATCTAAGAAAAAATGCACCCATGAAGTTAAATATGGACCCAATTTGACTCGGAGAGGGACGAGGGAGGTTGCAATGTGCGGAAGTGAAAGGCACTTTGGTGGTGAGTCACCAGTAGTCCAGTAGTGCTAGTACACGTCCCTTGGCCTTTGCACTATGATACACCCTTGCTAGCTGAGGACGACTTTGGTATGCATGTAGCCTGCTCTAGGCAAGCCTTGCGACAATTGTGACAAGGGCCGCCATCCCCGACTCCCACATTAGTGGAGGACTCGTCCGGCAAATTGCGTTTTATCGATTGGTCTGGTAGTAAACCATTGCAAACTGTACTGTAGCCCACTCAAGGACTTGTCCCTCTATTCACCTTTATTCCAGCGACCAATCGGAGGGTCTTAACACAGCCGTATTCGCTATCTGTTTTATAATGTGTGCCGAATAAATGGATTAATGCAGAGCTCGAAAGTTCTGCTCGACGAGACGTTGAAAACTGCATGCGGTGAGTTCACCATCTTTATTCAAAGAGATGGGTATCGGCACCGCGTTCATCCTCGTCCGGAAAATGCCAGTTAATATCTTGCCCTCCCACGTTAGCTCGAGGACCTGTATCAACTCCCGCCATACACATGTCTTTCACTGTCTGATGACTGTAGGGAGTTAGCTATGAACTGTCGTCTGGTTTCAAGGCAGACAGTGAAAGTCGTGCGTGCACACAGCAAAGAAATGCAAGTCATTAGTAGCTGGCAAAAATATGGCCAAGTCTTAGATCCACTACCGTCCCCGATCACTAACAATTTAGCAAGTCAGGAAACCAAAAGCCAGGAAGACTAATTTCCAACCATGTCAGTGAGAGTGAGGCCAGTAGATGCAATGGGAGGGCTCTTGTCAAATACGATCGGTTTCCCATCTCCCAAAACCTCTGTTGAATACACTTGTGTTCTGGTCTTTTCGGTCACAATCATTTGACACCTTAGAAGCTTGTCAAATTGTCTGTGCCTGCCATTTAGTTCTCGCTGAGTCCCTTTTTCCGTTATGCATGGCTCGGTAGGCCACTCCTGTATGGTGTCTCGAGCTTTCCGTTATGAGGTATCCTAGAGTTTCACATTGACCTCTCTGTTAACATCTCCGTCCGGTACCTGGGTTTTGCTACGGGAATCAAAAGTAAACAATCGTTTGTTCTTCCTCGGCATCGATATAAAACAGGAGTGTACGCAAACATCAGGCCAATATGACTTGGTCTACCACTTTCAATTCTTCCAGCCTCGCTGAAGCCTCATCGATGGACACTCCTTTGGACTCATCCAATGCGACCGAGAATAACTTGAAAGCTAAGGGTGGGGAGGTTACACCATTTTCCTGACCGTCAGACTCACTCTGTCCTTAGCTTGTATACACTGCTCCGTCCTCCGGCCCCTTTAAATATTTTGTGTTTAGTAGTGAATCCCAACAGTTTTAGTCGGCCTGTCGAGAATACATGGTTGGCACGTACACACCTTGGGGATATATCTTATGTTTCTAAGATGACTCTCGCGAGACATGAGGGTGAATTATTTTTCGTGAACAGACTATCACATACAAAGGAGGTTTGGCAAAATGACTCGGCCTTGTTAAGATGGATCCCCGAGGATCTATACACTGCAAAAATGTTGCCAGCAGGTTTCAAACCAGCTCCAAGAGAACAGATTTGAACTCTGTTACGGTACCCCCTTGGCTAAGACCAGTTAGATGAACCTCCGACAAAATCATCCATGAGTGAATGTTAAAGTGTGTTCAGAGAGAAAACCAACCTGTCGTCTGGCAGGTTTCAAACTTGCGCAGCCCAAGGGAAACAGATTTGGATTCTGTTCCAGTAACCACTTGGCTAAGACCAGTTAAGATAAGCTTCTGAGGAAGTCGTCCATGAGTGAATGTCGAGGTGTGTTCTGATAGAAAAAACCACATGCTCGGCAGGTTTCGAACCTGCCCATTGCAGGAGGAACAGATTGTGATTCTGTCGCGTTACCCACTTCGGCCAGGATGAAGTTCAGAAGAACCTTTGAGGAACTGTCAATGAGTTAATGTCGAGGTGTGTTCCGAGAGCAAAAAAACAGTTGTCAGCAGGTTTCAAACTTGCACAGTCCAGGAGAAACAGATGTTAATCCTGATGGGGTAACCACTTGGCTAAAACCAGTTAGGACGAGCCTCCATCTATGAGTCAATATCGAGGTGTGTTCCGATAGAAATAAAAAAATTGTTGTCGACAGGTTTCAAACCTGCACAGTCGAAGAGAAACAGATTTGACTCTGGGAACCACTTGGCGAAGACCAGTGAAGATGCAGCTCTGAGGAACTATCCATGAGTAAATCTTCAAGGCGTGTTCTGACAGGGAAAAAAATCTTCTTGTCAAAAGTCGGACAAATCCTCGTTCCGTTGCTGTAACTAAGACCAGTCAAGATGAACTTCCGAGGAAACCGTCCATGAAAGAATCTTCAAGGCTCGTTGCGATGGAAAAAAAATCTGTTGTCAGAAGGTTTCGAACCTGCACAGTCCAAGGGAAAGAGATTTTGATTCTGTTGTGGTAACCACTTGGCGAAGACTAGATAAATGCACCTCTGAGGAAATTATCCATGAGTGAATTGTCAAGGTGTATTGGGAGAGAAAGTTTCGAACCTGTGCAGTCCAAGAGAGACAGAGTTCGATTCCGTTGTGGTAATTGCCTTGGCCAGGATGCTCCCCAAGTTGAGATGCAAGTTTGAACCTCCGAAGAACTGTCTGAGTGAATGTCAAGGTGTGATAAGACGATTTGTCGGCAGGTTTCGGATCTGCAACAGAAGATTTCCGGCCTGTTACGCTTACCACTTGGCTTAGCAAGACTGTTCCTTGAAGATGTTGGTCGTCTGTAGCACGAGCCGAAGAACATTATGCATTGACAGTAGAACCACATAGAATTAGCAGCCATTTGCCATCGCAAAATGAAAGAAAAAGGCTGGTTTGCGTTTAATTCGATGGACACAAAACATGCCAGGAACAAGCGAGTCGGGGGTTGGCGCCGGCGCCGTAGTGTACTCTTAGGGAGATTTGTGCATACTTGTGGCCTCGAAATACAATGTTTTGAATCACTTCAACGGTGATCAGCACGCATGCACAGCTTGATCGCAGTAGTATTCCGAGTCTCACCTAGTAGCGTGTAATTTCAGTTAGTGCATGAAACTACACATACAAGTTGTCTATGAGTCATGATGGTAAAATGTTACTACTTACTCCCTTTAGTAGGCGAGCAACCTGCAGCCAAATATATTCTCACGAGTTGATCACTTGTATACATCGCCATGGCACAGCGGGGACGGCAAAGGACCAATCCAGATGTTTCTGCGACATATTCAACGGCGGTGTCGACGCTTCTCTTCGCGCCAGTGGACGACGACGACAACGATACCATGAGCTCGCTCTCCCTTCATGATGATTCCCATTCGACAGCGCTGCGGCTTAGTAGCACCACTGGCAGTACCCATTCACCATATATACACCCAGCTCATCAGGCAACGGCCTCAACGTCCACGTTTAACGTTGGTGGACAACCAACAACTGTTGTTTCTGCCGTGAACACCCCAACGGCGGGCTCTACATCAACTAGTACACCAACCCCGACAATGCCTGGTACTCCTCGCACCACCTCCTCTCGAAAACCTTCCTCTTTACGCCACTCATCCACTGCGGTTCCCGCTGAATCCATCACCTCCTCCATCAAACGGCGTGCCTCCTCTCCGTCTGCCAAGGAAGGTAAATACCCTCCAAAAAACCCACAGCATGTTCGCGCTACCCCACGTCTGCCGCACTCCGACGATCCCCCTGCACCTGCAACCGCACCGTACTGGTCACGAGCTCCAATTCATGGCATGCTTCCCATGCGTGCGTTCAGGGCTCATACGGTCACGCTTGTAGACCATGTTGCATGGTTGTTCGGAGGATGTGATGATAAGGGCTGTTGGAAGGATGTGTACTGTTTTGATACCGGTTAGTCACTCTTCTTTCTGATTCATGTTTTATCTGTGAGGTGCTGATGGAATCACGGTCTTCAGACACAATGCACTGGTCACATCCTGACACCCTTGGTGACGTACCACCACCCTGCCGCGCCCATACTGCTACTCTCGTCGACCGTAAAATTGTGGTTTTCGGTGGGGGCCAAGGCCCAGTGTACTACGACAGCACGTATATATTTGACACTACTACGCGTTCCTGGTTCTGTCCCTTATTTCCTCACTCCCAATCCCCGTCGCAGAATGCTGAATCGGGCCATGAGTTGCAATCGCAGAATCCTCCGGATAGGCCTCTCCACCCAGCACCGCGTCGTGCCCACACCGCCGTCCTCTACAATGGTAAAATCTACGTCTTTGGGGGAGGAAACGGCCTCACAGCCCTCAATGATTTATGGACGCTTGATGTCTCTCGACTAGATCCCACCTCACAATCTGTGTGTAGTTTCTTAATTTAATAATTAGCGTCCTCACATTACTAAGTGTATCTAAACAGACGTACTCGTACGGGGGTGGTTCATTTGGCGGTTCAGGCGCAAGCGGTGGGCTTCGCTGGTCCCTCGTCGAAACACAGGGTGAGCCCCCAGTACCGAGAGGATACCACACTGCCAATTTGGTAGGGAATGTGATGATTGTGGTCGGAGGGAGCGATGGTAGAGAATGTTTTTCAGATGTATGGTGTTTACATCTTGGTGGGTCATTCATATAATATTTTGGGCCCTGCATTGCGTCTGTTCTTTCTTTCAGTCCTGACTATCAAGCTTGTTTTCCTGACAGACACTCTCGTTTGGACCCGTCTTAATCTCCCCCTCTCTCACCGACGGCTTTCGCATACCTCTACGCAAGTTGGAAGCTGCCTCTTCATCGTGGGCGGACATGATGGCGGGGCGTATAGAGACGAAATTGTTTTGTTTAACCTTGGTGAGCACACGCCTATGGTTTCAAACTTTGATGCAAAACGAACTGACACTTGAGCACAGTGAACCTCCAATACGAACCACGAACGGTGAAAGGTAAACCCCCTTCCGCGCGCGGATACCACGCGACGATCCTTGCAGATAGCAGATTGTTCGTCTTTGGAGGGGTGAGTCTTTAGTCGACTTTGTTCTTTCGAACCAGGATGTCTTACAAATGCTGACATCCGTCCGCACAGTTCAATGGTCACGACGTTTTCGACGATGTTCATGTCCTTGATCTTGCAGGCGCTGCATATTTACCACAGGTGATGAGCTTCCGGATTGATGTGTGAGCATCATACCTCATCGATTGGATGATATTTCCCTTCGGTCGTGTTGACCCGAGTGCTCACTAAAGGTCGGCGAGCACTTTCGCTTGCACTTGCTTTATTGTTGTGGTCGTTCGCTGAAGTAGAGGCTCTCCTTTCACAAGCACGGTGCTATTGATCTTTCAAAGCCATTGAAGTCCTCTTTTCTTACTCATACAGCATTATTCGTTCCTTTGAGGACCTTTCTCATTTCGTCGCTCCGCTTTCTCACTCACCATTATTAACCGACATCCTTGCACGTCTTTGCTACCTTGCAATCCCCAACTTCCAAGTTACCATTTACCAATTCATAGAGTACATATACCATCATTTGCAATTTGATTTTGATTCTTGTTTTCTTCTGATTCTAGCTACTGGCCTCCTTGAGTATTAGAAACGTGATGGGTCAACCACGCGAAGGGGCGCGACGGACGAGAGTGCAAAGTTGTTTGGAAATTAAACCACCGTACTTGATTTTTGCACTCATGACCTCCACTACTCCAACTACAGCTCTGAGGCCTCCTGTTCTCCTTGCAAAATCAGGGACAGCGCGCTGCCAGAAATCGACATCACCACCCATGGGCTTTATAGACGACCTTGCCATCTTAAACCTTTTGCCCAGGCCTACTTGCTCATCGGCATTGACCGGTTCTGGTGGACTTGCACTGACTGCTTATGCATCGTGAAATCAATTAAGAGATGACCTCCATCATGAACTAGAATTCTTCGTCTACCGCCGGTCCTTCCAGCTTCCAGGACTATACACAACCGACAGCAGCCAACACGATCGCTTACGTCAAATCGCTGGCCAAAAGTCGCTCTGGCCAGCTCTGCCCCCCCGGCCAGTCCATTCTTGCAGGGCCTCTGGAGTTTGGTAGTCCTTTGTGACATCTTTTGCCTTCATCCTTGACCCACACTCGACGCCATACATTCTGCATGACGGCCGTCCACATACAGTGGTAAATGGGTGCTTTGGTTTCGCTTCGATTCTGATCTCCCGGAAGCTGCTCTGTTTCTGTTCGCCTCCCGGCGTCGCATTCGCTCAAGTGATGCCAGACGTTCATTTAGATTCTCGATGTTCAGACGGATCTCCTGACAGTCCTCATTGAGGCGCTGAATGTGTCATGCTCGAATCCGCTCGATCTTACTGTCAGGGTGCTCTAGGTACACCGCTTGGCTGAGGATGTGCACGGTGTTGGAGGTGATCTGGTCAGTGTTAGAGTTGCTGTGCTCTCCGTAAAGCACCGTCGGTGCCAACAGGACATGGATAGAAATGTACTCAGCACTGAGATGCGGCTGTGTACCAGTGTGCTAGGTAGATGAAGAGGTATGCAATATCGTAAAGTTATCAGGCATGTAACGCGTGAATAGGCAGAATATATACATGACGAGATTTTTATGCAAGGTGAAGTTGAAGGTTCATATTCCTAATCGAGCCTGAGTGATCGGCTGAGCCGGAGATAAGCGTTTTTCCATCCGTGGTTTAGGTCAACTTTTTCGATTCGATTCGTCTCAGCGGCAACACTAGTACTAGAACTCAGACTGATGCATGTGTCTACTGTCCATTGAGTGGCGACAAGCTCGCTCAGGCTTGTCTTTGTGTCCCGGACTTTGACCAAGTGCCTGTTGTGTTCAGCAGTTCAGGGCTCGTCCCATACACCAATCGCAATCATAGTTATGTCAGGCAAATATACGGCTGCCTCTGGGATGCCTGGTTTCAATTGGTGCGTGGATTGTCTCTTCGCTCTCCACATCTCTTCGCCTTGCAGTCCTATCGTAGGATCCGCTCGCCACTAGCCGACAATCTCGGCTCCAGCAGACGGAAAATACCCAATCTATAAGTCGTCCATTTCGCGATGACTTACCTATGTTGATGTCCCACAACCTTACTGCATTGTCATCACTCCCGCTAACTACTTTCTTCCCGTCTGGAAACAACGCTATACTCTTCACATTCCATACTCGTAGCGAGCCATCCTTTGAACCAGTCATAATTCGCTCTCCGCCTGGAAGGGTGTATAATGCCCGAAATAACCACCGGTGCGTCCTTCAAGTTTCTTGCGAGGTGTTATCGCTGACACCTCTTTTGTTTTTGTAGTGGGTGAAGCCTACCACCGAGTGCAGCGTCCTATCAGCCTTTACCCAATCAAATTCCAAAATCATCATAACTTACGAGGATAGCAGCGACGGGCAGACAGTGACTCCGTCAGTCCACAATTTGATATACAGCATGCTCATCACATACACCGCTCCAGCTCTTAATGTCTTCATTGGACCGCTGCCTTAGTAGATTTTCTCGCAAGAAGCTTGATGAACTCCATCTTCATATCAGTGTCCACAGTTTGGAATTGTTATATCCCGCCAGCCTGTACCATCAACCTTTCCCATCGAGTTCTTTTCCAGGAACCTCGAACCCTTGCGCTCTACCCATACCACACCAAGGATACCCCCTCTAGCCTGGCATTTCACTGACATAAGACAATACTTCAATTTCAACCAATGGACTTTTAACGGATACCCAATCAAAATCGTAGCCTATTCGGAAGTTGTACACAGCGTAAATCGAATTGTGACTTTGAATCTATCGTGAAGTGTGATGGCATGTTTATCCAATCCCTTTAATACCCTCTGGGGCGTAGGCCACCAGCAGGCACTTGTGGAGAGGCAGATCTGGGAATAGGAGATGGATGCCTGTCATAGCCAGGCATCGCCAAGGTTGGGGGCTTCCTCTCTGGTAAGGGCATTTCAGCGGCCCTATTGTCAGCCTCCTGGTGCAGACTTCCAATGAGGATCTTGATCATGTAGTCCGTGTTGAACGCGCCATTAGAAGGATCGAAGGGAGTGGTGTCGACGATGTCCTGAAGAGTCGTGAGTGACAGTGCGAGAAATCATGAACAAGACGCACTCGAATTTTGTAACGGTCAGAAAGTTCGTCGTCCAACACATGGAGCGCCCTTGCAGCATCTTGATCCGTGCCGATCTGGACGAACTGGATACCAAATTTCTCGAGAGGAACCTGCTGCCTGTCAAGGCGACTGGCGGCCTCAACGATGCATCGCAATAACTCATCACTGTCGGCTATAGCGTTCGCGTATGTCAGATATAGAAACACTGTATGGAAATACCACCTTACTAGCGGCTCCATCGGTGATGACAATGACAGAAATCGGTTCATGAGTTGAGCTCGGGTGCTCGATGAGTGGCAAGTACATCTCAATGAGCTGTTCGAGTCTCACTCCCGTCGGTGTGTCCTCACCTGAATAAAGGGCATGACTCACTGACAGGGTTCGATAAATGCAATACATACCAGTGGGGCTGAGCTGATCGAAAAGTTTCTCGACATCGAATCGAGACTAATCGAGAGCGTTAGCTGAAAAAAGTAGGTCCTGCGAACGGGTTCCCATACCCTCATATTTTCGGCAAACTGAGTCTGGTGCATGAAGTGGAGGTCGAGCCCTTTGGATCCATATTGTATGGCGATGTCGACGATGCCACCTAGAGCCTCTCGCACTTGGTTCCAAGAATCACCTTCGGCCATCTAGGTGCAAAGAGCATAAGTGATCATGAATCAAACTCTTGATGCCATTCTTACCGAGATGGAATCATCGATCAGGATAACCGTTTTGTACTCACTATCACAAACATGATCAGAATTTTGTTAATAAAGAGAAGTGAATACATACGCCACGCGTCGTAGTTCTTCCTCCTGTATCAGAAAAGAGGGATTAAAGCGAGGAATTTCATCTACGTGGAAGGTAGTCTGAAGGACCGATGTAGACTCCCGAGACTCCCGAGTCTCTCGAGTCTCCCGCGACCACACACTGCTTGCAGTGCGCTTGAGCTCTTGTCTCCCCTGTTGCTGACGAGCGAGGACGACGGTACCCGGAACTAAACTTCCCGTCGCATCCTGAGATGCTAGACCCCAGCGAAGCTGAGATGCGCATACTAGAACCTCGTATTTTTCGATCTGGTATCACACGAAGTCCGTCAAAAAAAAAGGAGAGTGCAAGAATAATAGGAACGCATACCAAGTGCTCCTTGCCGACGTAGCTGACCAGAGCACCTGAGGTGTGATAGCCAACCTTTCCAAGATCTGAACAGTTGATTATATGGAGTGCTCGCACTTCATGCTAGTAGCACTTACGGAGACCACCCTGTTAGCCGAATGTGAACGTCTTTGACCGGGATTCCATGATAGCTTGAGTAAACCTTACCTCTAAATGAACACGTGCAATGAAGAGCGCCTGTCCATTGCGGTCTTCGCCGAAAGGGACAGCGTTAGGTGGAATAGATTTATCCTCGACTAAGATCTTTGGGACCTTTTAGCGACCGTTATAACCTTGATCGACACCACTCTTACCCATACAAGCGGTACAGGCGAGCCATTCTTCTTGAAATTAAGAGTGCTTTCCCTAGCTTCTTCAATCCAACTGCTCTTGTGCCTGGTGGTGGTGATGACTGTCGAATCATTGCCGAATGCTGGCGCTGGCGCCGGATATGAGCCTGTGACGGGAGGGCGCCCATATTCATATGAGCTTGTGACGGGAGGTCGTCCATATTCATGTGCTAGCTTCGGGTACTGAGAGGTCTCGTACTGTGCTGGTCGTGGGGCTTGGTATGACGGACGTTGCTGAAAGGGCGCTGCGCGAGGTTCTGGCATCAAATTTCCGAAAGTTGGGGAATTAGAGTGTGAGTTGCTACTCGAAATCGGCATCCTCGACGACTGAAATTGAGTCGGAGTGGAGCTGCGCATCGTGAAATATTAGTTTGTTAAGCTGGAGGTGGATTCCTGGGGGATCGTCTGCAACCACTTTATACCAGGTATCAGGCGTTGGCGCCCAATCGATCGATATCAACTGTGCCATAGTTCAACAGAAAATTCCGTGATTCTTGAAGGGGTACAAGCACAATAATAGTTCATCGACACAGGGCACAATGTGATACTGTGCGATGCACCAGAAGTTTGTTAAAACTTTCACCTATCCCGGAAGGCTGGCTGGTGAGTCAGTAAGATATGATTGGGAAACGATCCAATCATCACAGGAATCTGTACCGCGCGACCTAGCACGTTGCCTCATTTCGGAAGCAGATGGATAACACTGCTTACCATAGTCCAACGAGGCTGATCAGAGACCAAGAAAGTGGAGAGCTCCCTTGAAACAAGAAGCATGCCCACCGACGAGCGTCTTCGTGGATGAATCGATAACTTAGAGTTCAGTAAGTATTTGAATTCTGGGAGGCTGGCTTGATTACATATACGCAAAGAACATTGATGAGATCACTTGACGTGACCATTGAATAACTGTCCGGAAGGATCCAACAGCCTTCACTTCAATCCAATGGGGTAAGTACCTGTCTTCTGGCGGAATTTACCGCGACGCAAGGTTTCAGCACCCTATTATAGGCACTAACTTGTTAGGTCTAGTCGTCCCAATGGATGGCTCGAACATGATGTACGAGGGCAAGGGTTGGGCAGGTATTGATGGCAGTGGGAAGTCCTAGTGACTACATAGTCAAGATTAATCGATACTCTTTGAGATTTCTGGGGTCCGGCTTGTACGGGCCGGATGGGGATAGTACTTACTCTTTGAGGTTCCCTTCAGACGTGATTGAGGGAAAGGATAGTGGTCAATGTATCATGAGCCAATGCAATTGACAGATGCTTAGACGAGAATACTACGAAGTAACGAGAAGTTTCGGGCGATGACGCTCAGTGTCTTCCGGCCCCGAGGGACCAATCCAAGAGAGGGAGGCCTTCCTCGTTGCGACTCACTATAGGTGTCCTCTGGGCCCTTGTAGTGCGGACTTGAGGAGAGCGAGGTATTTGAATCGGGTGCGATGAAGAAATGGGAGAGGAGGGTGAGGAAACGAAAACGAGCACGACAAGAACCCCGGGGACGGGACAGTCGTCGTAGCAGAGACAAGAACGTAGTGCCACGTCAACCGTTCGCCTCCTTCGCTTGTGCCTCGTCACATAATACAATGTCAACCACAACGATGAACATATATGTGCTAGACAACTTTTATGTATAATTGGGTGTTGCGAGAACATTTATTGTACACGACTTGATGGAAAACAGACATTCGCTAACATACAACTCGGACATTTTGGCAAAGACACACCGATTACCTCGACCCGTGTGGGACTGTGAGCGGGGAAAGCAATTCGCTTGGCACAGGACCTCCATTGTCAAGAACCTTGTTCACACCACCGAGCAGGATTTTCAGCATGTAATCGGTATTGAACGCGCCCTGTTGAGGATCGTAAGGTGTGGTATCAACGATATCCTGTCGATCAGCAATATAAGTACAGCTCAACCAGCTAGGAAAAAATACAAAACAGACTCTGATTTTGTATTGCTTTGCGAGGTGGTCATCTAGAGCCCGCAATGCGGAAGCAGCCTCTGCGTCTGTGCCAATCTGTACAAACTGGATGCCAAACATTTCCTCTGGAACTTGGCTTCTTTCCAGACGGTGGGCTGCGCTGACGATAACCTCAGGGAGAGTCTGCTGATCAGCTGATTCACATAGCATCATCAACACGGATGGCCAAGGCGCATGAGGCGTAACTTACTTGCGACACCGTCGGTAATGACGATAATGTCGATAGGGCTGTGTTGAGGGAACTTACGTTCCACGAGAGGGAGGTAGAAGTTAATAAGCTCTTCCAGTTTCGCAGCAGTTGGCGTTTCTGGACCTATATCTCGGTGTCACTTTTGGCTTGACGTATCACCACAGATGGAACTAACCGTTAGGGGCCGTTTGATTGAAAATGTGTTGAACCTCTTGGCTCGTCTAAAGAGCCAGTCAATTACGGTACATCGCTACAAGTTGTGTGTTGCCAGACAGACCTTGATGTTTTGATGGAAATGTTCGTGGTGCAAAAAGTGTAGATCAATTCCTTGGGAGCCATACTGAGTCGCAAGATCGGCGATTCCCGCCAGAGCCTCACGGACAAGGGTCCAAGATTGTTCTTCGGCCATCTAAGTGAGGTGGGTCAGAACCTCTAAGTCCCATCATAAGGAAAGTAACACCAACAGAAATGGAATCATCAATCAGAACCACGGTTTTGTAGTCGCTATCAAGTATCGTCAGGTGTGTAACAAGGTGGTTGAAAAGAACTCGTACGCAAGCTTCTTCAGCTTGAGTCTATCCTCCATTTCCGCAAGATTGGGGATAAACCTTGGAATATCGTCGACAAACAGCGTAGTTTCAATGAGGCTCGAAGTCTCGCGAGAGTTGTTGATACGTCTAGTCTCTTGGGCACTGGTTGCCTCCCGGACATTGGTATATCCAGTATGTGCGGCGAAACCAGCGGGCGGTCCAGGTTGTGCAACGAAGCCACCGGGCATTCCTCTATGTTGGGCGAAACCGCCAGCTTGAGCAGTCCATGCTGCCGACCCGCGTTGAGATTGGAGCAGCTGCTGATTTTGTTGCGCGAGTACGACTGTGCCCTGACTCAAAGATCCTGCTGATTCGTAGGTGGCCAAGCCCCAGCGAAGTTGAGAAGCACACACGAGTACTTCATACTTTGTGATCTGGAAACATGTAAGTCTCAAATTAACAAAGAACCGTAACCCTCAAGTTAGTAGACGTACTTGGTGCTCCCTTCCGCTGTAACTAATAAGGGCATGCTGAAGATGAGTACCTGTCTTTCCGAGATCTAAAAGCAAGTAAGCACCGTCTCTTGATTACAGACAGAATATACTTACAGAGCCCACCCTGAAAGATATGGCACGATCAGTGTTATAATACCGGTGGGAGAGATAAATTACCTCGAGCAGGGCACGAGCGATGTACAGTGGAAGACCGTTCTTGTCTTCGCCAAAGGGAACGGCATTCGGCGGGATGACATGGTCCTCAACCAAAACCTTGTACACTCATAAGTGACGTTCAGCGAAGATCAATCATCATGTCCCTCACCCAAACCAGGGGGACGGGTGAACCATGCAATTTGAAGTTGTTGGTACTTTCACGAGCGGAATCGAGCCAGGAGGTCTTTGTGATCATCGTATGAGTCTCAGTAGTACCGACGGGGGATCCCCCAACGAATGGAGATGAGCCATGCAATTTGAAGTTGTGGGTGTTTTCACGAGCAGAATCGAGCCAGGAAGTCTTTGTGATCACCGTCTGTTGAGTCTCAGTAGTACCGACGGGCGATCCCCCAACGAGTGGAGACGAAGGACGGTATTCAGCCACGAGTTTACGTTGGCTAAGGGAGGGCGAGCGAGGTGCGTTGGTATTGAAACTGTTTTGTCGATACATGATATCTGGCTCGTTTGGCCCACCACGGCGACCGCAGAGACTGGCCTTATGAATACGAATAAGTAGCGCCCGGACCGAATATCAGTATCTATTCTCTGCTGAAGCTGCAGAGTTAGGTTTCCTCGATACCATCGATTGGTTGCTAGAGAGCCACAGCGCTAACTTAAATCTATGTTCGTCAATGTTAGAACATATCAGAATTCATCCAAACATGAAAGTCTGGCTGTGTGATCATCGGTTCCTGGAACTTCTCGGCGCTCGGCAGCAGTACCAAATCGAAGGGCAATATGACCACTAAGCCACATGTTTCCCCTTGCCTAGCTTCAAACCAACAAAGATTGATCATCACTTCCATGAGTACAGCATCGAGGCAGCAAACACGAGGTAGGCAGAAGGTGTGCTACAGATGGCATGAAGAGTGCATCGAGATATGGGGAAAGATAACCTACTAACTGGGACATAGAATTCCGTAGGGTATAATTTCTGTTTATATCTCAACAAGTACGACCATTTGAGGATGTCGAAAACGTTGTTTGAGCTTCATGAGCTAAGGACAGCCGTGCAGAGCCGAGGGCAACAGCAAGCTCAAGCAATTCAATCACAATCCGCACTGAAGTTGGGGACTGAGTTTGTCGATGTTGATCAATTTGATATCATGATATCAAGTGCACATCAGCGATACTATCACAGAAGCCTAACTTTCTGAGTGGGGCACGGCACCTGATGTGATATGGGAGGGAATATATCTGGCTCTGACCGCAGTCACGGACAACGAGGCGTCAAATGAGGTCAAAGAACAACTGTTCACAGGGAACTCACGGGGTGTAGAAACGTGATTGATGTTATCAACATTCAAGTTTCCATTATACTACTAACTGCATGCGCACACGTTGGGATGTTCTGGAATTTTGTCAGTGAGATGTTCCACCCTAGATAACCGACAAGCTAATCCTCATATGACCTCAGCCTGAGATCGGTACGACTATTCGATGCACAGCTTATCGCAGCCTGCCACATACGCGCATGATGTCGCCCGTATGGTCGTCACTAATGTGAACGCCTGTGTGAAACGACACCAGTGCGAAAACTTCCATTGTCATTATGCATAGACAAGGCAAAGGTTAGCCTCATGCTGAGATCCGAGACTTGATAAGCTGTAAGTTATAAATCATAGTGGTTTCGGGAATTAACTCACAACGCCGACTTTTCACTGACATCAACTTCTGAGTCTGAATTCAGAATCCAATCCACACTAGACTATTCTCACTGCAATGCAGAAAATCGAAGGGCTCGTCACAGTCCTATGGTTATCAAAGGAACAATTTCTACGATGGTCGATGGAACAAGCGTTGAAGCTAGGCCTGGGTGAACGTGACTGGACGCAAGAAGCATGGATTCAGACGGCACGTTCCCGGTACAACCCGGCGGAAACTTGAAGCCAGGCCGAACCATGTGTAGCTTAAGGCCACCTCCAGGCACTACTAAGTTACATACATAACAGGCTCTTCAATTGCTAGTGAGTTACATGTTCAAGCGCTCAGTACTCAGTGCTCACCAATCCATCGGAATTCGCCGTCATAACTCATCGATCGAGTGGTCACTCACAGCGAAGCCTCTGAATCACCGCCATAACTTTTCCTATCTTTCGATTTGGTTAAACTGCTCAAAGAAGTGACGAACTAACTAGTAAGTAATATGTAAGTATGTACACAACTCATCATTCATCCCTCCGAGTCACCCATGATCAGACTCCTCATGCCCATCTGTGGTTCAACTCTACCAACCTGAACCACACAAACAAATCAGACATGATTCACGTCGCAATTGTTTATGCTGATCGGTGGATCTCATCCGCTTCAGTCGCGAATTGTAGTCTATGCTCCACGCAAAGCTACAACTTGAAATTGTTCCGTATACAGTGTATCAAGCCCACCAATGTTATCACCCTTAATACACGGATCCCGTTATGCCTGGCAAGGTTTGGGCTAGCTGCATGGACATCGGACATTAGTTCATGGTGAGCTGTTCACATGTTCATGTGATAGCAATGGTTATCCCTGGCTACGTTCTCATCTTTACGAGCTGAAACATGCTCATTGGTCGCCACTTCAACGTGACTATCCAGGAACTAATGGCGACAAACGTCAGCAATCCGACTTAAGTAAGTGTGTCACTGAGGCGGCATATGTGTTGATGTCATTGAAACAGCTTGATAATAAACCCACTCAATTTGCGACCCCGCGCTCGACCTTGTATAGCTTGATGAACCTTTTCTCGACAAGCAGTTACTTGAGAGTCGCTAGCGCCCTTCGGGACGTTCCTATAGTTTGGGCTATTCGGACCATGTTTTTGTGGCCAAAGGTATTCATCGAAAATATGGGCGATTGCAGCAGTACATCAGAGTGCCTCCATGTTTGTTCGAACACTCCTCTGCCTTTTGATCTGTCTGTAACTGAGTACAACGTCATACGGATACCACACCCCCTTTCACACACGATCCTTGCTCCTTTAGACGAAGGTGGGTCTTCTAAAAACCATAGAATGGAAGCTTTTCAAGTAGGTTATCGGAACAGTTATTTCCGCGGCCAGCCACTCAGGCAGAGATGTTGCGGATGCATTGATAGTAATACAAGGAATTCGAATTCTTGGACCTCATCTCCGGCCGGGCGTCAATAGGTCAGTAGGCGCTTCGGGCCACGCTTACAGGCCTTGTGATCGTGCACCAGTGCACGTAAGTATTGGAGCTTTTGCAAATATTAGATCCAGACTTGTACCTACTTATTATGTACATCATCTTGCCTGTTGCTAGCAAGCCTTGTGTCCTTCACAACGGCTTGTCCGAATCACGCACCCATGACCTGTTGCCTCGGGAATTCAAATCACACGTTGTATATACATCCTTTTGAGTCTCCAGCAGGAACAAAACCTCCGTCATTTGATTCTGTGCGCTGCCGTCTGTCAAACAACGTCTAAAGTATCAATCCAGTAAAGTTTTTGAATATGTCAATCTGACTTCGTTATCGATCTTCCTTGCAACGAGATAAGATTGCTATGAAGCCTGTGATCCGAATAGAACCGGCTCGGCGCGGAATGACGCATCTGGGGCAAATTGACCGCAGGATGGTCTCGAAAATTAGTGTACTGGATTTCCAACTCCAACACTCTTTGTTTCGTATGTTATTATATCACATGCGGGAAACCATCACGGATGCATAGCGCAGGCTGCCACAATTTCGCTTAGCGAGGCGATATATAATACCCTCCTAAAATCAACTGGTCTCAGGATCCCTATCTCTTCGAACAGAAGCAACCTTGTCTTCCTCGGTACGGCTCGGAATCCATTGCTAGACATCCTTTTGCGCCACCACTGCTAGCGCCCTTTACAAACCTTGATGTGTCTCCACGAAATGTAAGCGTTGATTCCAAAGTTGTACAAAGTCACTTTTCACACTTCTAATGCATCACAGCGTCGGTGACTATTGGACAGGGTGTGGCGTAGGTTTCATCCTTGAATGGAACCCAACTATGCACTAACACAATAGCGATGTTACGGCGCTCTTCAACCGCAGCACTTTCATGGAAGATATTTCACCGGAGTGACCTCCGACTGCGGCTCCTTACGGTGTAAGACGAGTGCATCTCACATGCACAGGACAGCGCGAAATTGCGGGTGCCCCTCGGTACGAGTCATCGCATTCCCCTATTAGTAGGAATTCACGTTTGTCATAGGTGGTGACGGAAGACCGCCGGGTGCAAAACTTGTACCGAACACCTCATCCTGACTGCGTACGACCGTCACGGTAAATCTGGTGTACCTAGCTGACATCCGAATGTCATCACATGTCGGAATACCTATATCCCAAATTCCTCTTTTGTATCTGTATTTTAGTCGTGATGTTGTAGCCTCACAGGTGTTGGATATTTTCGCAGTCATTCATTGACAACTATGCATTAATCTTTCAGGCTCCGTAAAGGTGGACTATTCTGAGCACTTGTAGTCAGGCGAAGATTCCACGGAGGTGATTCACAATGAAGGTAAACAGTACGGAGGCGCAGTACCAGATCAAAGTGACCATTCATCAATATGGTCGTGAATTGAGATTGACCGGCTGTACGGCAGGATCTCAGTCAGCTGGGATTAAATATGACATCATACTGATACACACCGGAGGTCCAGCTGACTGTATTGTGACCGCACGACTTCCTGCAGTGGAAGGTAGAGCGATATCGAGATATCGGGAGAAAAATTCGTCCAGCCAGCTAAAAAATTCATCCTTGTCTTCCTGCGACAAATTTGCCCAATCTATGTGATCCACTTGACCTATTGATCCCGTCTGAGATGGATAAGAGCTCCTGGCGCGTGTGGGTGGAAGAGAAATATGGTTATAAGATGGTGAGGCAGGAGCACCGGGCCGTGAGCCGTGGGCCAAGGGAGGAGGGGGTGAAGTAACAGAGCTTCTTGAGCTTCCAGAAGCATCTGGACGTGTTCGCAGCGGAGGCGGTGGAGGGCCATCACCCGACGACCCTGCTGGAGCAGGTGGAGGCGCACGTTTCCAGTTAGGATCCCAATTCGTTTTTGAAGAGGGAACACTGGAATATTTGTCCCTTGTGTTCACCATCTTTGTGACGCTTGCATCTTTGGCCTTCTCTGCCTTCTGCTTGAGCTCCGCGACTATCACGCCAATAAGCACTAACACTAATCAACCTGATGAAACTTCAGGCCTCTCACAGTTTACCATGGATATTGATATTGCTGAGAGATAATGAGCTGAGAGTTGATAAAACGAGGTGGTTATTGCTGACGAGGCTTACTGGCAGTAACCCTCAAGTGTCACACGCGCTGGCAGTTACATAATAGTAGTACCTTTTGGACATCTAAGTTAGAAGGGGAACGAAGAAGTCAATGCATATACGGATACCCAGAGGAGATTCAGTAAAGAGACAGATAACTTAAATGTAGTAGTACACTAAAGTATGTTGTCTATCTGTATAAACATAGGGCTTGAAAGCGGTACGACAAAATTGCTGATAGAAGAAAAATTTAATCCAACTATAGTACCTACTGACAAACGAAAAAGATGAAGGTCCGGTCGGCTGGACGCACAATACAGCAATAGCAATAACTATATGGAAGGAAGCTAGAGTAAAGCAGTGCCTCTTCACCGTCTTACCAAAACCAAAGTGGTCACCAACACCACAACGAGAACCAAAAGTGCGACCATGGCATATAAACAACGCTTCGCCCATTTGAGTTCCGAAACCCGCATCTCCGCAAGCAACTTCTGTCTCTCTTCTTCTGACCTGCCAGTCTCCCATTCAGGAGCGGGCCGAAGTGGAGAGAAGATTATAGCGATTCCAACTATCCAAAATATTGGGAAGACTGAAGGGAAGTCAGTTCCATATCTTATGAGATATATTGTAACAACAAACGTACAGAAACCATAGAGAAACAAATGACGAGTGAGTGTTATGGGCTCATCGTCTGCACCCGGAGACGGACGAGCAGTGTACACGGGCAGTTTCTCAAACTCTCCCTCGCGCATATAGGGCGGAGGGACATGCCGTTCGAGAGCTCTCGTTCTGTGTGGTTTGGCTCCGAAGAACTGCGAAAACATGTCATCCTGGAGCTGCATGGATGAATAGTGCGCTTTAGGAGGAAGTGTGGGTTGTTCGGTGCGGGTTGCCTGTGATGAACTGGAAGCGCTAGTACATGCTGAAACAGTATCTGATGGCGACCTGTATAGATGCAGTTCAAGTTGCGGGTTGGAAGGCCGAGAGAACGATGGAGTATTGTCTGAGCACCACATCTTGCAAAGAGAAATCGATAGGGCTGTAGGTGGGCGGATGAACGATACCTAGATTTCACCCCATTCCGAAATTCGCGAATAAATAGATTCCTGGTGGTGCGGCATTGGCAAAGCGTCCATGGGCCAAGTTTGTATTAACAAAAAGGTGGAAGACGAAGGTGGTCATGATGATAAACTCCCGCTGCCAAACCAAGCCGAAGTACTGATTCAGGAAGAAATAGCAACCAGATTTAGTAAGACTTGTGAAGTACTCACACGACAAAGACAATAACGAGGACTTCCCATGAGATACCATTTGCCGGCATACACAAAAGCAATATTTCAATCAGGTGGTACAATTGCAGTCATTTTGAATCAAGACTCCAGCTTTTGACTAGATAATGACCGAGCTTCACCAGCAGCAACCTTGCTCCACAAGTACTAATGTCGTGCCCTGTCCTTCGGAGAATGCATTAGAGGTATACTGATTGTACATCACCAGCGGTATCCTTTGGAAAGTAGCGAGCCAGGGGCAACAATCGAAAAAAGCTGCAGAAAATTCGCTGTCGGAAATTATGCTACATGTGTGATGAGAATGAGTAGACAGGTTCTGACAAATGATTGAGATGGATATAACTTTCAGAAAGCGCAACTTAGAAGGTTGGATTTACCAGTATACGTAGTCGGAAGATGCTCGAGCACCGTAACATTTCTTTCTTTTGAGGGGTTTGTCAAATGAAAGGCCACATCATTTTAGTGAACCGGAGAAAAAGACATTTCGGTGCAATGACTCCTCCAAGGATCTGCACACAGTAAAAGTGTTATCAGTAGGTTTCGAACCAACTCCAAGAAGAACAGATTTTGACTCTGTTGTGGTAACAACTTGGCTAAGACCAGATAGATGGGCCTCTGAGGAAACCACCCATGAAGTCAATGTCAAGGTGTGTTCCGATTGAAAAAGACCTCTCATTCGGCAGGTTTTGAACCTGCGCGAGTCGAAGAGAAACAGATTTCGAATCTGCTGTGGTAACCACTTAGCTAAGACTATTTAAGACGAACATCTGATGAAACCATCCATGAGTGAATGTCGAAGTGTGTTCCGATAGGAACAAAAATCTTGTTGTCGGCAGGTTTCGAACCTGCACGGAAACATTCCAGGAGACAGATTTAGATTCTGTTGTGGTAGCCGCTTTAGCCAGGACTAAGTTGTAATGGACCTCCGAGGAAATCACCCATGAGCGAATCTTCACCGCGTGTTCTGATAGAAAAAAACTGTCAATCGGCAAGCTTCGAACCCGCACAGTACAAGAGAAACAGATTTCGATTCTGTTCCAGTAACCAATTGGCTAAGACTACTTAAGATGAGCCTCTGAGGAAATCATCCATGGGTGAATGTCCAGGTGTGTTCTGATAGCAAAAACCTCGTGCTCGACACGTTTCGAACCTGCACAGTGCAAGAGCAACAGACTTCGATTCTGTTGTGGTAATCACTTAGCTAAGACCAGTTAGATGAACCTCGCACAAAACCATCCATGAGTGAAGGTCAAGGTGGATTCCGAGAGAGAGAAAAAAACTTGTCGTTGGCAGGTTTCGAACCTGCGCAGTCCAAGAGAAACAGATTTCGATCCTGTTGTGGCAATCACCTTGGCCAGAAGTTGATATGAACATCCGCAGAACTGTTCAGAGTAGTGAGTGGAGTACGGAGCGTATGCTGGGGCTACTTTGATGAATCGAATGGAAACTACGGCGTCGCGCCGAGTCAAGAGTTGTACGAGGAAGGAGTTATGTGGACTTGTACGAAACCTTGTTCAGAGACTTGGAAAAAACTTGCTGTAACCGACCTCAAAGCCACGCTCCTATAATGAAAAATGGTTAAATAACATACTGATCGATCCTGTATACATACAAGTCATCTCATCTTCGAAGGGCGGCACGTCTAAAACGGCCGGCGGGAACGGCGGACTGGTGGGGGCACGCCCTACACCAGGGCATTCGTGCGCCCAGTGATGCGTTGGGGACACTGGGGGTCCCCTAGACTAGATAGAACTGTCCTCCATAGAGTACATCTCTCCATAGGACATAAAAATTGATTTTTTTTAAAAAAAAAAGCCACGCTCAGCATACCAACGATCACTCATCAGGGGCTATGATACGCCTGCTCCTCGTCACTGTCGATATTTTACATGAGGTTGTGTGTATGGACGAAGAATGCGACAAACCGACAGCTGATATTTTCAAGCGACATATAGGTTGAGTAGGATCCCGCAATGCATGCAGCCACCGACTCACCAGAGACGCAGAAGAGGAGTGGGAAGGTGCCAAACAACGACGTGAGGAGGCAAAGGGTTCCAACAACTCATGTGATGACTCCGAAGATGATCCACATTATCGCTCCAGGGATAACGACTCTGATGATGAGGAGGGTGAGGATGAGGAGATCGAGGACGATGGTTTATGAGTTTAAGGAAGACCTGCGATACTGGAATTCACAGGGACCTACTTGGAGCGCACCAACAAGGAATTGATATCTGACATGTTACATCCGTAGCTGTCAAAGATAAAGTATACACTCCATCTGGCTACATTGATGATGCACTGTGCCCCGGCCAGACAGATGAAGCGGATGAGATCATGCATATGATGACCATGACAGATAGCTTACATTTAATGCACCATACCAGCTGCTCAATATATGCGACTCATATTGATTGGGTTATTGGCCGTAAGGACGAGGCTAGGATCAGGCTAGCCTTCTGGACGCACTTGCACTCGCAGGAAAGTTGATCGTTAAACCTACGGAATACTTATACTGGACAGGAGGAAGACCGCAGGGAAGTTGGCAGTGTGGCTACGAAGCTGCGTCAGCATGCCTTGAATTGAACACACGCTTGATCCGACCTCGGAGGTAGTGTTGGCGAGCCGTCAACTGCACCTACTATGATCCAACTATGATCAACCGTTGATCACGACCCGGTCCAACACGAACTATCAAGTACCAATTTGATCCTATTGCCGTGACCAATATAAAAGGACATGACTGGCTATTGACGCTGAACGCATTCGCAGATGGTGAATACTAAGGTCATCATAGTGGGTGCTGGAATTGCTGGTCCCGTGCTTGCAGTTTTCTTGAAGGCGAGAGGCTACGACCCCGTCATATACGACAGACTTCCCGGTCCAGCAGAAGGTGGACACGTTTTCACGTAAACACCCACGCTCCTCCTCTTCCTCGCCAACCCAGTACTAAATGCTAAGCACAGGCTGCAGCCCAACGGCATCCGTGTCCTATCACTCATTCCAGAGCTCGTAGAACAGATACCTGGCCATCCTCTAGATAGGCTGATTCACTGTTCCTGCTTGGATGGAGTAGAGGATATCCTCGTTGTTACCGATATTTCGCCAGCTATGATGCGAGAACGATTTGGCTTCCCCTTTATTGGAATCCGGCGCCCAGAGTTTCAACAGCTTTTGATCGACACGGCCAAGAAGCATGGTGTCGAGATCAAGTGGAGCCACCAAGCTATTGAATTTGAGCAAAGCGAGGATGCAGTGGAAGTCACGTTCGCGAATGGTACCAAGGACACAGCGAGCTTTGTCGTAGGCTGTGATGGCTTGCACAGCAATACCCGGATTGCGCTCTTCGGGGAAGAGAAGGCGGACCTTTACGGGAATGGTGCGGGTGAGCCCGTTTCAGTGACGGTCCTGGTATGGAGGCTGATATTTGGGTGATTTACAGGTCGGTGGGGTGTCTCCTACGCCGCCTGTCTTTCAGGGGAGACTTGCACTGGTAAACAATTACGGAGATGGTCGTCATATGATTGCGTATCCTGTTACGGAAGACAAGTATTCATGGGCGTAAGTGCACCTCAATTACCTGTTCAAAGTTTGATTATCCTGGCAATCAGCATTACAACTCGGGGAGCTGAGGCCAAGGAGGACTGGAGAACGCAGAATGAAGAGCAACAGAATGAAATCCGAAATGGGCCTTTCTCTGCTTGGGGGTTTGGGGCTGGAGATTTGGTAAAGACCGGCCAGAAGATCGTGAAGGTAAGTTCCCTCGTGATATGCTTACAAGTATTTGAAACGCACGCCTTCCAGTATGGCCTCTACGATAGGCCTAAGCTTGAGTCATGGTTTAAGGGAAGAATTATTCTTTTGGGCGACGCAGCTCACCCAAGCAGTCCGGTACGTGATGTCGCCATCGATTTTCACGGCGCTATAATCGTATTTAGCATCTGGGACAAGGTGCCAACCAAGCCTTCGAAGACATCTACCATTTTATGCGGCTCCTGGGGAAGCATAATCCATCTGCCGACCAGCCGTCGACGGAATTATTGTTGCGAGTGTTCACTGATTACCAGGATCTTCGGCTACTGCGTACGTCAGAACTCGCAAAGGGAGCTAGACAGCGAGGGGAATTTCGGGTGGTCGAAGGCGTCGACGCATGTAAGACTAGAAATGAAGCAATCCGGACGGGGTTTGATGATGATGCAGCAAAGAAGGCACGCGATAAGTTGTGGTCCGGACCATTTACCGAGAGCGAAATGTAGTTATTCTATGCGAATGATGTCTCCAGATCTTGTCACAGCCTGGAATACGACTGTCAGATTCAGAGTCACTACAATATCGGAATAAATATCAATCGAAACTGGCGGTTCCAATTGAACCTACCTCGGGCTATAAGAAGTACCAGCTTGTGGTTCTTCATCAACAGCTACTGCGAAATTATTCTTGGAACACTCTTCTCTCTTCCGACGCCACTAGTGACTGCCGCAGGCTCTTTCACCCACCATGCAGCATTCCAGAAACAGCCTCTCTCGCATCCCGCTTAGCGAACTCGCGTCCACCGTTGTTGACCGTATTCCTCTCCTTCTCGAGCAACTCCAAAATCTGGAGGCGGAGGAAGCTCTCCTAGACACCGAGATCCTGTTACTACAAAAATTGCATCGGAGACCCATGAGCATCTCTATGGACGCGCAGCCTAGCACGAGTGTCACGGTCGCCGAAAACACGCTGAAAAAGAGACACCTAACGTCAGACGGTATGTGTCATCTCAAACGCATCTTTGTTCAGGCTGAACGAACAAAATAGGGACCCCGAAAAGGGATATGTCAGGGACAGCCTGGGACGGATTCTTCTTTACCCATCACGTCTCTCCACAACAGACAGAGGGAGATAATCTGGACACTCGAAGATAATTCTGACACGGTCTCGAAGGGAGGAAGATATAACAAGCATGTATAACGGACGGTTGTAGCTCTTACTGCACGGCGGTAGTTCAAGCTCAAGTTCCACTATGTCACGATCACGTGAAATCTGAACTTGTAGCGCGACCAAACAGAGTCCAATTGGCACGCGGGCCCTTCGGCTCTTCTCCGACATCGATCCGAATCACTCAACTACTGAGTAACCAGATTCTGTGAGGCTCTCGTATTTCGCTCTCCAATATGCCTGCAAACAATGCTGATAGTAATGATCCCTCAGCAGCTAAAACCGATCTGCAAGGGATTGAACTGGCAGAACATCCATTTGATCCTTTGCTTCACCCAACCTGCGCAACGCAGCGAGCATGGACCAACTATTCCATCAATTGCCTCTGAAGTATCATACAGTCCCAGTATCAGACTCTGATCAAGACTGAGCATGGGTATGGTGTCGAACCCAATGATATTTTGCTTTCCAACTCTATTAAAACCTGTATTGCTCTGATCGAGGAGGAGATGGACTTGGAGGCGGGTACCCTCCAGAAATGTATCACCATTCTGTACGACAACACAGAAATCGATGAAGAGGATGTGTGTACAACTCACTGACACTGTATATTACCTTGCTTGACAAGGTTTCTCCCAAGAGGTGTGCGAAAGTGCAATTCTGGACATCGAGCTGGCATATTGATCCTTGTACTAGTTTCATCTCTGAGTTCATTTACTTATGTTCCGTCTTACTTACCAATGTGTTTCTGCATGCTCGTACAAAGCCTTACTCCTTTGCTTACTGATCCTCTCAGATAGCCTCTAGTATATAACCCCTGTACAACTACAGTAGAGTCCTCAGTCTGAATATCACCTTAGACTTGCCCAATCTTCCAGACTTCAGTCCATCTGAGTTTGTCCTTTTCCATAAGGCCTAGGGATGGACTCCCTAGGCTGGAATTCTGGACCTTTGGATTTGTCCTGTATGTCTCTGTCCCAAGTCTAGGGATTGCTTCCCTAGGCTGGAGTCTTGCCTTGCCAGCACTTACCCTCTTTCTGGACTTAGGTCCACTTCCTGTCCCTCCAACTCTACCTTAGGGTAGTCTACCTCCATTTGCTTCTACATCGGACCTCGTCCGATGTAGCCCCTATTCCTTCTGGACCTCTGGGCCTCCTGTCTTCTGTACCTCTGGACGTCCTGTCCTTTGGATGTTCTGCCCTCTGTACCTTTGGATGTTCTGCCCTACCTCTGGACCTCCTGTCCTCCATACTCCAGACCTCCAGACATCTTGTCCTCCTGTCCTCCAGACCTCCTATCCTTCCATCCTGTTTTCCTGTAGAAGTATTACCTTGCAGTGGGAACTCTCCTGAGCACTTCCTGCATTCCTCTGGAACTCTCCCGTGCTCCTCTGGAAGTCCTCTGGACTTCATTGGACCATCATTGGACTTCCTCTGAAATGAAGGGCACATACTTGGGTAAGGGGCACAGCATACAAGCTGTTACAGTCGTGTTTGCCCCTATTCATTTCCTCTTTTGTATTATGTCATGACCGTGCCACATTGCACCATCACTAGACTTGCTTTCCACTATATTTGTACTACATCACGATTGCCGTTGCCATCGCTAGATGACTCATTACTATCTCTGACTCATATCCTTATCTATGACTCATCACTAGATGACTCATTGCTATCTCTGACTCATTGCTGACACATACGTACCTGCCCTAAAGCATCTACGTTCTATATATACTCAGTCATGTACTCAGTAGATCCTCACTTTAATCTACTAGGTTCTCACCTGGAATATCCTTCGCTTAGGACCTCCAATCCTAAGTTGTCAGACCACCGATATTCAAGCCAGAGACACACTCTCTGACTTGTCTTACAACCCTTACATTTGTAAGGTCTAGATTCAACTTCAGCCGTTACTCTTATCAAGTAGCTGCCATTGCGACTATCCTAGTTCGTAACACAAGCTGAGGCCAAGCCCCTCTGAGTCAGTCTCTCTCCTCCTTTGAGCATGGTTCTTAACAAAGATGGAAACAGAGATAACTGAGAACTGGAAAGGCAGAGATGCCTAAATGGGGATAGGTGCAGGATCTCGGACAGAGGGTGGGAATGGTCCAGAGATAGTACAGTTAATATCCAGAGGTCCAGAGATCTGGGGATCTGGAAGGCAGGACAGAAACAGGACTGAGATATGTGAGGTGGTGGATGTAGTCCGGAATCCAAGAGGAGGTAAAGTCCGGATGTCTTGCTGGATGGAATGTGCATAGAGTGGGACAGGATAGGGGATCCAGGAATGAGTCGGATATGGGGTCTGGAAATAGGTCTGGAAAGCATGGGAATATGATGGGATCTATGTCTGGCATATGGGATATGACAGCTTTCCTGATTGCCATTATACCAATACATTTGTCCAGAACCATCGCAAGGTAGGAAAGTCGAGATGCTGCTGCTTTTGACTGACTCTAGCACAATGATCTAGCACTTTTCATTTGGGGACAGTGAACTCATCAATTGAGCTGCTTTCTGGACCTGCATCCAGAATTTACTCGCTGACCTGCAAAAGGATGGCCCACTTTTCCTGATCTTTCATGATAACATTCAGGACATCAAGTGAAACTTCTTGCTTCCAGATACAAAGCCTGACAGCAGCGTCTTTGTATTAGATCTGTGTAGCTTCATAACAGAAATTGTTGTGCACATCGCTGGCTCAAACAAGTAGCATCCAATGGCTGAACTAGGTAGTACTAGGTTTTCCCATCTTCGTCCACCAGACTTTTGTCCGCTCATCTAGTTCCTTTAATCTATCATCCTCCACTAGGAGTTCAAGACAGTGACATCTTTTGAACAGCCCCTCGTCAAAGTCACATAACAAATGGATTGTTGACCACCCAGAACTCTGTGAAAGTGCAATGTAGAGATTAAATAAATTTAGCCCTCCTGTTGGTGGTGTTGCAATGTCTACCAGGACATAAGGTATTGTTTGTCCCTGAGATCGATAATCTGTGAACACATAGGCAGCTGTCATGGGAAACTGCCAGTGCCACATGGTGCGCTTGATCTCTTTGCCTTTGGATGTTGTTAACTTAATCTGAAAAGTTTTCATTGTGATCTCCACTGGAATCATGGAATCTTCAAGACCTTGCAGTTGCAAGGCATGTGTTCTGTTCAGCTTGACTAGGATATATGCTACCAAGTACTTCAGAGTCACCAAGCTCTTGTCGTCAACAACTGGTTCGTCTGGATGCAGAACAATTTTGACAATTGTTCCTTGAGCACCATTAGTGATATCGAGGTCTGTTTTGACATTCTGCATCACCATCACCTTCATCCCAATGCTGATTTCAACCATGTCTGGCAGGTCTTGGTGCTTTTTTCGGTTTCATACAGCATTGTTGCTGTTATGCATTGCCACTGCATAACACTCTCATAACGTCAATGGCTCACCTTTAAGTGTGTCTTCTGCTGTGCAGACAAACAGCTGATGGCCTGTCTCCTGACAGTGTTTTCGAATCACTGACTCATTCCACAACCTCCAAACAGCATGTCATGGCATGACCAAAGCAGCCTCATTCCAAGGTTTAGTGGTGAAGTCTGTTGGCAGGCAGTGGGGTGACAACACCAAGGTATGCAACATCTTGATGTGATGCTCTTGCACTTGACCATGTCAAAGATGTTGCAGAAAATTGTGCCAGACCTCGTCAGTAACATGGACTTGTTCTGTCAAGATCACAACAGTTGTGAACTCTTCAAAAATGGTCCTGCCAAGTTGGGCTTCTGTCAAGTCATGTGCGAAATTGACAGGGAAGTAGAGGGCCTCTGTGAGCACTGTTGCCACAGGGGGAAACTGATGGAAGTCACCAGATATGATAATGTTTGTGCCTCCAAACGAATGGCTAGATGGTGGCTTTCCCATCTCCATTTTTCCAATTCCAATGTTTCTTGACAGATTTGCAAGAAAGGTCTTTGCAATCATGGAGACTTCGTCAACAATAAGATAGCAATAGTACTTCCAAAAGTGCTGCAGCTTTCCCCTGGCTTCATCGCTGATTGGCTTTTTTGAGTCTCTTTGGGAAATCATTGCGATGGTATGGGTTGTTTTCCTGTCAATTAAGGATGCTGCAACTCCGGTGTATGCAGCTTTCAATAGCATGTGTTTTGTGCTGTTATGAGCAAAGTATTTGGTGATGGTTTGAATTACTTTTGATTTCCCTGTTCCACCTTCGCCATGGATGATCATTCAAAGTGGTGGTAGCAATTTTCCTGCCAAAGTTTGATTGAGATGCCAAGTAACAATATCATAGGCTCTGTGTTGGTCAGCTTTCAGCATGGAGGGGTCTACTGGCAGCAGTGCAGCTTCTGGAGCTTCATTGTTGATAGAGGATACTATTGGAGTGGCAGCAGAATCTGTCAAGCAGCTGACAGATCCAGTATTGCTCAGTGCATCAGCTGACTGAGGTCTGTCACTTCCTAGAATTGTGTTTTGTTGATTGACATCTGACACCATTTGGGCTTTCTAAGATGCAAGTTTTTGTATCTCTTCCTCACTCACACTGGTTATGTTGTTATCGCCATTCACAAGCATCCACTTTGAAGAATCATTGGAGAATATCTTTGCAGCCTTGGCAGTTTCCACTGCAATGTGGGCATGAATTTCTTCTCACATCAGGAGCTGAGATGCAATGAGACTTTGAAGACCCTCCTCTGTCAGGGCCATCACCAGATTATGTGGGGCATCCTTTTCTAAATTGAAGTCTCCATTAACAGTCTGTGCAGCTGACTTGACTTGGGATGAGACAAGTTCAGTGGCTGAGTCCTGAGCATTTTGTGCTGATGTCTTGCACTGATAGAAGTACTGAATTCCTGAAACTATGTGCCATATGCTCTGTGATGCTGTTGAATAGAACTCCTTGAATGCTGATTGCCAACTCTGCTCAGGGGATTTAAGATCCATGGCAACATTGTGCCATGGCTTTAGTAAAAGAAGCATGGATGCGCAGTAGAATGGATATATCTCTGGATCATCTTGGCAAGGAAAATATCAGCCAATGAAGTTAGGCAAAGTATTGTGGCCTTGCAAACGAACAATACCTTGCTTGATGCCATGCTTTGGATGGTGGACAGATATTGAACATGTTGATTGCGAGGTCACCCACATGGGCGTGGGTCATGAGATACATCTTCAAGGTGTGAATCTGACTGTATAGCTGCACGTGTCTTGGCATTGACTTCCGCTTCATATGTGTTGGTGAAGAATGATATCACATTTGAATTTTCTAGGGCATGGCCTCGAAGGCAGTAATTGGTGACTTGACACTTGTTGTGAATATGACCACCCCTATCAATTGAAAGTGTCACAGTCTCGCCATTTTCCTAGTGTCATTGGTTAGATTTGGGAAACAGATCTATGGGTATCTATGACAAACCTCAAGCTCAGTATCTTTGTTGTTCTTACCATTGTTGGTTGCACCCATCAGATTTGTCTCATCTGTATCTTCATTTGTGTCTTCATCGGAAATGCTGTAAGTGTTTTGTCAGCCCATCAGCTTCAATTATCAATTTCATCACAATCACCTTGCTGCATTGCTGTTACCACCACTATCCTTCCCCTCCTCTTTAGACCCCTGGGTATGACTGAGAGCAGGAAAATCCTTCAATAGTGCTGAAATGAATGATGACCAGTAGACTGGGGAATAGTGATGAGAATGGTAAGTGTCGCCCCACCCCATTAGGTATGAAATAACCATTGGGGCAGCTAGTTCTTGCTCCCAATTGATGGTGTGAATCAGCCTGAACAGTAGCAGTCTCTGATTGTCTTGAAGACTATTGAGATATGCTGTATGGTGAGAGTGATATGCATACCCCTTTGCCAGCAGTGCAGACATGTTGAAGTGCTTGCCCTGCTTCTTGGTTTGGTAGATGGTGACATAGAACATCACATTTTTGGTATCAGCGCCATTGGTGAGTAATTTCCCATCATTGTTGCAACATGCATTGAGTGTGATAGCAGGGACCCATCCATTCAGGTAACTGAAAAGCCACTTGGATTTCCAATGGCCTTGGTCATCAATGGAATCTTCTTCAGATAAATTGAATGGTGCTCTCCATTTGCACTGATATTGACCATTCTTATCAGGTACGAGGCAGTGGTGAAACTTGCAGGTGTGTACTTGCATTGTCCAAGCTACTCTTTGCTCAAGGTCTGTAGTGTCCATGTCATAGGTGGCAGAGTCAGGATTCACAGGATGAGACCAAACGACCTCATTGTCATTAGGGATATTCTTGATACTCTCTGCAGACTCAAACCTGGAAAGGTAAGCTTGAAGGTTGGCCTTAATGAATGCTTTGATGCGATCATGGAATTCCTCTTGTTTTAGAAGATTCTCCATCTCATTGCTAGGTGGTGAATTCTTCAACCACATGAGCATGTGAAGGTGAAGGCTGCCTCTCCCTTGAGATTCAATGACACTGAAGTATGTGGTAACTGATCCAAAAACACCAATACCACTCTTTGCTTGGTACTGTGTGGTTTCGACTCCAAAAAGGGTGCACAGAATCGTCCAAATCATGAAGTGGAAGAACTTTGCAGCAGTATATGGGTCAAGAGTGATGTTCTGCGCTCGCTTCTCCTTCGAAGGAGCATTCAGAATAGCAGCAAGATCATCCATGTTGATGTTTTCCCCTGCAAAGACTTGCGCTATGGGGTCATGCAGGTCACATGGGTTGATTGTAATCCATAGTGAAGGTGGGTTTAGCATGATACACGTAGACCATATCTGACTCTGCAGTTGATAGCAAGACTGGTCTGATCCCATGACATGACCCCCAGTTGCATATATATGCTTTTTGAGCAGCTGAATGGCAGGATCTGATATTGGTATGTTTTTCTCCTCTTCCTTCTATGCACTCTTGAGTTTCTCCAGAGTAATAGTGGATAAGATCTTTGCATCAAGGTCGAATGTTTGATGGCACATCTGCAGATATGCGGAGCCAAGAGCTTGCCACTGTTGCAAGATTCCAAATGACATGAAAGGGAAGGTGTCATGTCTTCTAAATTGCCAGTCATGGTAGTGCAATGCCCATCTGATGTGCTCTCCAAAGTCGACCTTTACAAGCCTCGCTGCTTTGATTCCTCCCTCTCCATATGGAAACAAGCAGGGAAATGCCTTTTCGAAGAAATTGTGGTTTTCTTCTGCTTCTGCACTGTGCTTCTTATCTGGAGGGAAATCACTGACTGGCTGTCAACCATGGCACACAGCATACCCTCCCTCTTTTCCTTCATTCCACAGGTTTGAGAGGCCCCATGACATCAGCTCTGTAGCTGTCAATTTTGACATGTCAGTATCAATTGCACCAGACACCTGCAATGGAATGACATCAGGTTCTATGAGGGGAGTAAGTTAGATTCAATATATACCGTAATGTGTCCACTGACCTTCCATTTCTGTTGAATTTGCCTCAGTGCTACATAATGGTTCATTCCTAGGTTCTGTAGTTGCTGTATCACAAGGTTCATAAGGGGCTTAATATGGATATGTGAAGTTATGGCTGCTAACTGTCTGTTTCCTTTGATCCAGCTCCATCGCTGCATGATTCAGCCCTAGGTGCTGTAGTATTGCAATGTTCATAAGGGTCAGGGCTGACAATTGTAACAGTTACCTGGTGGTTGTTCTGAGTCACCTTCATCATTTGGAACATATCCAGCACTCTCCTCATCTACCACTCCAATGTCTGTTGATTGAGACACAATTTCAATGATTTCCTGTGGTACATTGTTTTCAGGAAGTTCACTGATCCATGCACTACTGATCTCAACATCTCTGTAGTACTTGGTGTTATTCTTCTTCAACCATTGCAGTGCTTCAAACACAACCTGATGCCTCACTCAAAATGTTGAGTACATCCAATGTCAGGGCAGGTCCCCCAGGCCAATGAAAGTTATGGAGATAATGGATGCCAGTATGGCAGGCGTGTGTGGCATGAGCTTTCCCTGTAGCATTGAACTAACTCCTTCCTGCAGCATATCATAGGTGCTGACATTTCCACACATTCCACATTGAAGAGTGGATGCATCACGAACACCACCAATCTTCTTTGGAAAGAGTTTGAACATGAAGACCTGGGGATACAGTAGCACAATCAGAAGCTGTTCTGGAAATGTGAGAACCTGAAGCTGCCATGGCACTTGTCCAATCCATAGGTTGTTGGCAAGAGCATATCAAGGTGGTTTGTGGCCATTACTTTTGAGATCTTGTAAACATGAATGACAGATGTTGACCAAGGTATCGTTGCCTTGTGTGATGACACCAGCAGGCTCCAGGAGTTGTCCGTTATAGAGATTGTGGGCAGGATGGGGAGTTGAAGGACTAAGTCGGCATAGATTGGGGATGTCATTGAAGTGAAGCTTGGACATCCTCTCTGAGTCATCCAAGACTCCCACCTCCTGTGCACAAACACTGCATATACTGCTGACCAGTGCAGCATTTGATGTTGCATTATAGAACTGTTGGTAACAGCTTTTCACCTCTGTTACTGAAGGGATCTCCAAGAATTTTGTAGGGTCATATGCATCCCTCACTGGCACCTCATCAGCCTCCTCATCTACATTCTCAAGCCTCTGCACAATTTGACATGCAGCAGAATCATCTGCTTGTTTGTGCTTCCTTGTTGCTTCCTGGATTTCCTGTTCACTGTGCTTCTCCTCAAGCTTCTTCTGTCCTGCCTGCCAAAGGAATATGATTTGTTCTTTGGGAGCACCTGCAAGCACATGGTGTGCAAACACAACAATGGCTATACACTTGTTAAAGTGCCTAACCAAAAATATTGTTGTAGGTCAATGCTCTGCCTAGCTGCTACACTTGCAAGCAAGAACATTCGACCCTAAAGGGAATTGCTACTGAGAACGGCCAATGATACTAAAGACCTGAAAGTGCGCAGAGCGCGGGAACAAGTGCGCGGGTATGTAGAGCGCGGGAATGCGGAAGTGTGGTCAATGAGCGGTCAATGAGTGGTTGATGCAGAAGTGCAAGATGCTAGGGTAAGGGGTAGGGAAGTCTTAAGGAATGGCGCAGGTAACAAGTGAGTGCAAGGGTATTGATTGCACAGGTAAGGAAAGTCAAGACAAGGTGTCCAGGTATAATGTAACCAATAGGGGCTAAAAGTGCGCACTAATGGTGACTGCTCCTAAGTAAAACCTAAGGGAAGGAAATACTGTAGAAGGGAGGTGAATATGAAGTAGTCACTCTAGGCACTTTATACTAGCTAACCCTCTCAGAAATGGAAGGGACAGGACAGACAGGCAGTAGGAATATGTAAAGACATGTAATAAGGCTGCAACACTTGTTACAACACACAAGGCAAGGCAAAATACGTACCAATGAGGTAGGATGGACAATGGACTGACACGGGACATCTGTAAGGTAGTCCAAAGGTGCAGGAAATCAACTGCAGGTATGCATGCAGCACAGGAGTGAATGCGCAGGTCCACAGGGCGTGGGAATACACATCTGGAGTGGGTTGAGTGCAGGAAAAGTGGTCGATGGTTTTGTAGCTTTCCATCACCTATATCAAAAGATGGCCATTGCAAGCCTAGCGGGAATATGATTGTCACAACAGGTCAAGATTGCATCTTTATTCTGGTGTTCATCATGGGAGAAGGTAATGATTCCTTTTAGTTGTGCAAGTATTTCTTTGACACTGAGATGACATATGTCGTCATCTGCTTTTGCAGGGTCCATGAGTAGTTGAAGATTAAACGGTATGAGTCTATGGCTACTTTATTTGGCATGGATTGACAAATCTGATTCTGCAGGCTGCATGATAAAATTTCACCATGCACGGGCCATTCAAATTTCCTGACATATAAATAGTGAGCTATTTCATTGGCATATCTCCTGACATCTGTTGTTTTCTGCTATTTATTGCACATATATCATGACCCAGTCATCAGCCCCCCCAATGAGAATCCCCACAATGCCCACACGGCTCCTTCAGATTTGGCAGCGCCTTTTAGCCTCTGGCCTTTACTTAGGTGATTAATTCATGTTTGTAAAATTTTGTGCATCTCATTGACAACTTAACTCTGTATTTGATGAAGGTGACCATATGTTTCGAGAAAATGTTCAATGGTCCTGCATTGGCAAAGCCAACCGGCTTATTGTCAAGCCCAATTCTGATGCACCAGATGATGCTTCTCCATCTCCTGAATCTGGGCCAGATATGGCAGTTCTTAGCTCTGTCATACAGATATCTTCAGGTGATTACTATCTTACTGCTGATGGTGGCTACAGGGGAGCTTCCTCCTTTTGGCCAGAGTTTGCCACTGTCAAGCCTTCATGTGCTAATGAATGGCCTGACATTGATCCATTCAAGACCAATTTTAATGTTGTTAAGGAGAACATCAAGTGGTTGCAGGACATTGCTACAACTGACAGCTTTGTCCTTAAACGTGGCCTGGTTCCTCCATACACTGATAACTTTCACTTCAAAGTGCGTCATGTACTTTTCGAAGTAAGTAAAATTCATTACTGCATGAATGTCTTTTCATTCTTGAGTCTTGCAGTCACTTCAATGTGGTGAGGCAGGCTTTGATGATTCTGAGGATGCAGTGGATTCCACAGAGGATACTGAGGAGAACTCTGCTAAGGCTGGTGTGTAATCCTCTTTGCAAATTTACTCATTTGATTAATGTTTGTGGATTTAGACCTTGATGGCATATTTCTCATTGAAAATTGGCTGGCCTTCAATGATGCTGCAAAGGGTGGTCTTGAGGAAATCAAGAAAACTCATCGTGTAGTGCCCATTCTGGCATATGATATGAAGGGGAACCTGATTGATCCACAGCAATACCACTGTGCTCTTGAAGGTGCAACTGTAGAGTTACATTTCACTCTCACACACTGGTCATTCACTGCAAGGAAGGACCAGCCAGCAACCATGGGTGTCGACACTTATACAGGTGACATTGTAATGATCCGCATCATTGCTCCACCTATCTATACTCCTGGGACACCCTCTAAGCGCACTGTATTGAGATTTTTCAATCCTAACGAGTTGCCGACCAAGAAGAGCCATCACTAACTTGGATTATGTAAGTATAAATTTTTTCAAACTGCCGCACTGGACTTACAGTAATACTTGCTTTCCTTTGTAGTGTCATCTCCCCACTGTAAAACTCACTACTAACTGTTGGAGTCCAAGCGATCTGAGACAAAGAAGACTGAAGGATCCGAGATAGGTATGAGGGGAGATTGATAAGTCTGAGCACAAGCCAAAAAGGGCACTTACAAGCAATGTTTTGATGTTGCCTCACACCCTACAATATATTTTTCATTTCTATACCTTCAATAGTCTAGTGTCTACTTTGTAACTCCTTCCTTTGATAGATGGAGTTTGATCCATTCATAATGCAGAAATTACACTGGCACCAAAACAAACTCTCACTTGTCACAACATAATGTTTGTGTTTGGGTCAAGCAAGGTTTCTGCCAATGCAGGCGGCAATTCACAAGTTATGGCTGATACCATTAAATCAATGGTGATCGATAGCCATGATCTACTGAGACCAATGTCTGGATATACTCACCCACTATACTGATGTACATCAACGTACATTTCAAATACTACTGCCACACACATATGTCAGAGATTGAGTGGTTCTACTCACTCAGGTTCAAGATCCAACACCGCCCACCTGTGACGGCAGGCAATGCAGATGCTATCAATGAAAAGCTTGGCCAGGGTGGTCCCAAAAATGTGCACATGTGCAATGGGTGGCAGTCCATATGCTGGGGTTACATTGACGACTCAAATGGAAACTAAAGCGAAAATTGTGGCCATGTTGAGTGCAGAAAAGTGGAGCTGTACAAGGAAGGAACTATGGACATGTATGGTTCAGAGAATTGGAGAAACCTGCTACTACTGATGCAGAGGCCGTGCTTGCATACCGACAATCGCTTGTAAGGGGCATACGCTTGCTCTTCGCTGTTGTCGGGCTTTCATAGGAGGTTGCATGCACTGACAATGAAATTGGCATGGAGCCACATGATTTGATACTTGAAGGGCTGAGCAATAGATGGGTAGGGCGGGGGATATGTAATGCATGTGGCATCTGACTCACTAGAGATGTGGGGGAGGAGTGGAAAGGTGCCTAGCAACGGCAAGAAGAGGCGAAAGGTTACAACAACCAATCCAATGACGATGGCCATGGCAGCTCTGAAGACTATGAGTCCAGTGATCAGGGGGAAGGCAAGGATGAGGAACACCTGAGTAACATAAGAAGTACAGTTAAGAGGTGTGAGTCTTTGGGATACACAGTATACAATATACCATATGTTGCAGTGACCACAATACTGATCACCAGTACCATGGACTGAACAAGATGGTCCTGAACCTCTGGTTGAGGGTTTGTGACTAGTGCAGTGTTGACAATCTATTGTAAATTGGACTTCTTGGGGATCCATGACAAGGAGACATACACTTTGATCATAACAGTAGGACTCTAGTTGCAATTGGAGTGATGTCTGATCTTGATGTCAAGAATTTCGCACAAGCTCAATTTGCAAGTGTCAGCCAAATATTTATTTCTGAACAGAGTGAAGCTTACTAAAAATGGTAACTCATATTCAGCCCTATGTGGGCCCAGCCAAGTATACTTACCAGGGCTGAACGTTGAGGATGGGTTAAGCTTTAAGATGGTGGCAAGGGAGTCAGGGGACTGATGCTCGCCACTGCCATGATTATAATCTGTAGAAATCTTTTGGATCACATGTTAATGGTGCACATTTCTAGTTCACCCCCAGGCACTACTGACGTGGTTCTTGTTACAGTCACATATGCCCCTATTCATTTTCCTATCCTTTTCCCTTGTATTATGTCATGAGCTGCACATTGCTGCCACTAGACTTACCTCTGACTCATTTGTATTACATCATGATCGCTGCTGCCATTGCTAGATGACCTATCCTTGCTATCACTTATGCATCCCTTATCTCTGACTCATATTCATTCTCACATCTGCCCTAAAGCACTTGTAGTTCACTATAAATAGTTCTCTAGTATGCTTTAGTTCTGCACTTTAATCTTACTAGGTTCTCACCTGAATCTTCTCTTACTTAGGATCTTCAATCCTAAGTCATTTGAACCAATATTCAAGTCAGGGACACTCTCTTTGCCTTGTCTTATGACCCTTGCATTTGCAAGGTCTTGACTATAACTTCAGCTGTTGCTCTTATTGAGCTGCTGTTGTTACAACCATCCTAGTCTGTAACAGTTCTGTGTACTGGCAGTGTGGCTGCACAGCAGCCTCGTGCCCTCCTGCAAGCATTGGACGGCAAGCGCCATCCTTCAACTGCATTCTACAACCATCCAGTGAGCTTTCTATAGCAGAATAGATTGAAACATCTGCATCTCCATCATGCTTCGCACTCTCCATCAATCAACAGCTGGACCGTTCCACAACCTAATCCAAATCTTCATATGTCATTTCTCCAGATACCTATCACCCAGATTATACCTAACTACACCCTCGAACCTAGCTAGTACTTTTAATTGGTTCATTGCATCTCACATCTTGCATACCACAACCTTTGTCAATGAGTGATGATCAATGTCAGTACTTCCATCTCTTATCTCTCACATGCTATCTGACCTCTTTGACAGTTTTTCAAGGAACTTGGGCAAAGCTGTCTGAGGTCACTGTTAAGGGTGCTCAATATAACTCTCATGAATGTCAGCCCCACCCAAAATGCCTGCAAGGGACCCAGGTGGATCTCCTCAACTACATCCATAGATTCCTGGATGATACAGAGAGGAATCAGCTCATTTGGCTGCATGGCACGGCTGGCATTGGGAAGTCTGCTGTTGCATTCACTGTAGCTGAGAGGATGAGAGGTCTAAAAGTGACAGAAGAGACAAATGTCAAAAAGCGACTAGTGGGGACATTCTTTTTCTCGTGCAAGCACACAAAATGTTGCACAAGTGGATATTATTTGGCAACACTTGTCTACCAGCTTGCCACCAATTTCCCCAGCATCCAGAAGGATGTGAATAGAGCTATCTGTGACAATCCTGCTCTACTAGACCCAGACACGCCTCTCTGACCAGATGGAAGCTCTCTTTCTCCAACCCCTCCAGAAACTTCGACTCAGATTGTGTGGATGTCAGCCTTTGTCATTTGTTGTCAATGCACTTGATGAATGCACGTCTGAACCCAATGAAGGAATCAACTACTAAGCTATGGCACTACAAGGGATGCCAAGTCAGAGTATATGTGTGGTCGTCTCAGCTCTGCCTAGGCTGCTATACTTTGCAAAGGCAAGTGTGTTCGACCCAAGGGGAAGCGAGTGCAACACATCCACAGGTCACACAAAGTGTGGGAAAGTCATGCGCACAGAGGCGAAGGTGCATGCAGAGAGTGGTAGGATGCGCGAAGCACAGGAAAGTCGCACACTAATAGGTGAAAGTGCACAAAGGGCTAGGAATGTGATGGGGACTAGGGGAAGATGATGACTGATACTGATGGGTGCAAGAACAACAAATGTGATGATGATAGAGTGTGATTGCCAAAATGCTACTGACTATGGCTCAAAAAAGGCATGCACTATGCTGAGGGATGCTAAGGGATACTAACTGGCAACTAAGTGGTAGCTAACTAACTGATAAAAATGTGAATGCTTTCATGCAAAAGGTGACTAAGCACGTTCCCATGATGCGGAGCCGATGCGAGTAAGGCGTGGGAACAAAGAAGGTATATGTAAGTAAGGGTCCATGATGGAATATGGTGTCATGATAAGAGTAAATGCGAAAACGTACCAGTAGGACTTGGTGGACGATGGATGGATGCTCCTGGATGATAGGCAATGAAGCGTGGGAAAGCGCGTGGGACGTGTGCAGGAATGCATCATGGGAGAGTAGTGCGCGCATTGCACAATGCGCAGGAAGATTGCGCATGTATAGGCTGAGTGAAGGAATGATATAGGGAATGATGCTGTGAGTTCATGCTGTGAACTGTATGCAGATACATCACAATATAGGGCTCTACAGGCATACAGAGGCGCGAGTCTCTACACTGAGCTTACCAATCTCATCCTTTCTCTTGCACAGGCTCTTTGTGACCCTGATATTCCCTTGACCAACATTCTGCTCATGAGTTGCTCAGAAACCCATATTTTTAAGGCCTTTCAGAATGAAGAGGTACACCCATTGGTGCATGAGATACCTGTGAGAACTTCTGGGGAGAGTAGCATCATCTCATTAGACGGCACAGACATCGACAATGACATCTGTACTTTCTTGAGGCATTCCTTTAAAGAGCTGGAATATCACCATCCTGATTTCCTGCAGCCATCAGAAGTTGACCTTGCGAAGCTGGCAAGCTGAGCAGGCAGATGTTTCATCATGGCGTCTATGATGATGCAGTTTATTATCAGTGATGAAAAAAATGATCCCCACAAATGGTTGCAGCTGATGCTTGAGCTCACAAGCTCACTGCTACCAGGAACAGATGTGTACAAGTTGTACAACCATATCCTCTCCACATGTGCCAATCCCAAGCGGGCATACCTGCACTTGTCTGTCATTGCTTCCCTCACAGACCCTCTTCCCATCCTGCAAATCTCAACACTTCTTGGCCCTTGGTTTGGCATGGATGTGCAGACAACACTGATACAGCTATGGTCTGTTCTGAACATTCCTACAGACAACACACTCCCCATGAATATCTATCACTTGTCCATTTGCAACTATGTTTCCAACCCCTTAAATTGCAGCCTCCCTCAAGTATGCAATATCGCATCACCCCACTCCCTACTTGCACATTTGTCTTTCCATTTGATGTCAGAAATTAGAGAAAGCTCAGCCCTCTTGGATGCATTCTCAGAACTGAAGAAGCAGAGCCAAGCCATGCAACCTCAGGACCCCCATAGATTAAAGGACTCATTGGCCTTCCTCATTCAGCCGCCAGAGCCAGTGTCTGTTCTTATCAGGATGCTATGGCTTCAGGGTGATCACAGGTTAGATGTACAATCTTGGCTAGAGACTGTGGATGGATCAGTGTGGTTGCAGACCCATAATGGGCGAACCTGGCTGTGGACTTATTGCAGGAAAGACTAGCTGCAGACACTGGGTGGGCAAACATGGTTGCAGGCTCAAGCAGGACAAGACTGGCTAAGCCTAAGCTGGACAAGACTGGCTGCAGGCCTTAATGTAGGACAAACCTGGCTACAGACTCAAGCAGGAAGGGACTGGCTGCAGACCCAGTGTTATGAACTAGGATAGTTCTAATGACAGACAACTCGATAAGAGTCAGGACCTCTGCCAAGATTCTATGCAAGATGATAAGTCAAGTGTTTGGTGTAAGCTAAGTCAGAAGGAGTGCTTCTAACTTAAAGTATGATTCAGACGACAAGAGATTGGAGGTCTCAAGCAAAGGATATTCCAGGTAAAACCTAGTAAGATTAAAGTAAAGAACTAAAGTGTACAAGAGGACTATTTATAGTGAGCTACAAGTGCTTTAGGGCAGACATGAGAATGTATGTGAGTCAGAGATAAGGGATATGTAAGTGATAGCAAGAATAGGTCATCTAGCGATGGCAACAGCGATCATGATGTAATACAAGGTATGAGTCAAAGATGAGTCTAGCGGTGGCATCATGCAGCTCATGACATAATACACAGTAAGAGAGAGAAAATGAATAGGGGCGTACATGGTTGTAACATTACCCCTCATTTAGAGACAAAGTCACCGACTTTAGTTATCCTGGTTAGCCCAGTAGATAAGGTCAGCATCATAGTTAGAGTCCAATAAGTCATCCTGTTCTTCAGTCACAGTAAACTGCAGTCTATCGGCAATCTCAGTGGCGCAATAGAGAGCTGGGTAGAAGCCCGGGTCAGTCCAGATCAATGGGATTACTGCTTCACCTTTTAGATCTTTACAAAAGACCAATAAGTGCCCAGGTGCTTCAGCTTTGCAAACCCGACAGTAGTACGATGGACAATTCTTGTGACAGTGTCTGGCAGCGTGGCAGTTGCAACATACGACATTATTGACAGTTTCCGTTTTTACTGTAGTGATGGTGGAGGCTGATGGAACTGGTGGTGGCAATGGGGATCTGGAATGTCATTTGTGGTTTCTGATGGTGGGGGAGACAGATGGTTCTTGTTTACTGATTCAAGCCGATCTTCGCCTAGTAGGGTAGCAATGCACAGTGGGTGTGATGGGGGTAGGAACTGGAGAAGCTGGTACATTAGGTACAGCAGCAGGATCAAGAACATTATCCATATGCTCAATGGTAGATGATGAAAGAATCGGTGGTGGGACTGGAATGGCACTGTGTGGGGATGGAGGTCATGCCACTGGGTTTGTAGCGATTCATTCTGTGATGATATGGATAGCTTCTCTGATAGCTTCCTTAGTATCATCAGGCAACAGATGGATTGCAGTATTACAAATGCATATATGAAGATGGTGGAAGATGGTCTTGTGACGGTCATCGTCAAGCAGATTGGCTGTGCATTCAATAAGACTAGCGTCTCTGATGATTTGGATGATAAGTCCGCTAGAGATTGCCCCTTTTTCTCCTAGGAGATGATCTATCTCAATAGCATATTGTGGGGATGTGATGGTGGATTCAAACAGAACACTAGTCTCAATCTGGTCGAGGATCTCAAACTAATCAGTGAGGGTGTCATATCCCGTATGCCAAACATAGATCCCATCATATTCCCACGCTTTCCGGACCTATTTCCGGACCCCATATCCGACTCATTCCTGGATCCCCTATCCTGTCCACCCTATGCACATTCTGTCCAGCAAGACATCCGGACTTTACCTCCTCTTGGATTCTGGACTACATCCACCACCTCACATATCTCAGTCCTGTTTCCACCCTGCCTTCTGGATCCCCAGATCTCTGGACCTCCGGATATTGACTGTTACTATCTCCGGACCTATTCCCACCCTCTGTCCGAGATCCTGCGCCTATCCCCATTTAGGCATCTCTGCCTTTCTGGTTCTCGGTTATCTCTGTTTCTGTCTTGCTGATTGATCCTTGTACTAGTTTCATCTCCGAGTTCATTTACTTATGTTCCATCTTACTTACCAATGTGTTTCCGCATACTCATACATAGCCTTACTCCTTTGCTTACTGATCCTCTTAGATAGCCTCTAGTATATAACCCCTGTACAACTACAGTAGAGTCCTCAGTCTGAATATCACCTTAGACTTGCCCAATCTTCCAGACTTCAGTCCATCTGAGTTTGTCCTTTTCCATAAGGCCTAGGAATGGATTCCCTAGGCCAGAATTCCGGACCTTCGGATTTGTCCCCTATGTCTCTGTCCCAAGTCTAGGGATTGTTTCCCTAGGCTAGAGTCTTGCCTTTCTGGCACTTACCCTCTTTCCAGACTTAGGTCCACTTCCTGTCCCTCCAACTCTACCTTAGGGTAGTCTACCTCTGTTTGCTTCTGCATCGGACTTCGTCCAATGTAGCCCCTATTCCTTCTGGACCTCCGGACCTCCTGTCTTCTGTACCTCCAGACCTCCTGTCCCTCATACCTCCAGGCGTCCTGTCCTTCAGATGTTCCGCCCTCCATACCTTCAGATGTTCTGTCCTCCATACCTCCATGTCCTGTCCTCCAGACCTCCAGACATCCTGTCCTCCTGTCCTCCAGACCTCCTATCCTTCCATCCTGTTTTCCTGTAGAAGTATTACCTTGCAGCGGGAACTCTCCTGCACTCCTCCAGAAGTCCTCCCACCCTCTCCACCAGAGTAGCCAGCCTCCGGAAGTCCTCTGGACTTTGTCGGACCATCATTGGACTTCCTCTGAAATGAAGGGCACATACTCAGGTAAGGGGCACAGCGTATGAGCTGAGGCCAAGCCCCTCTGAGTCAGTCTCTCTTTCCCTTGAGCATGGTTCTTAACAGAGGGTAGAGTCACTGGATAGGGTAGTGTCAGTTAGAGGCGGGGAAGCAACAGGGGGTGGTGTGTTTTCGGCAGCAGTGAGATTGATAGCAGTGGCGAGTTGGTAGTCTTTGAGGGATGATGGGTGAGCAATGCTTTCAGAGGCAGAGTTCATAGCAGCAGTAAGATATTGAATGTGGAGTAGGCAACGTTGTAGGTGTTTGATGGACATTGTTCTAGGATTATAATTAATGGGTCTTTTTATATCTGGAGAGGATGTCAGCGGCATTACTCAGGTTCTCTTCAGGGATCCATTCATTACTGGCAGAGGAATATCCTTTCCAGGACACTAGATAGCATCTTCATTTACCCATGCCTTTGTGCGATAAGATCACATTGATTTTGTATTCTTCTTCGTTATCTATGACATCTGGGGGAGGATCATGGAAGTTCAGACCATGAATCTCTGTTTCGTGATAGGATGATAGTTCGGAAGCATGGAACATGGGGTGAACTCTCCATTGTGGTGGTAGTTGGAGTGTGAACGTGATGGGTGATAGCATGGCAATGATAGGGAAGGGGCCATATCACTTTGGTGCAAGCTTCCATGATGTTAACTGCGTGATTAGGTTCTTTCCTGATAACCAAACCTTATCTCCTATTTTCTACAGGTGGTACTTCTGCCCATGCATTCATTCTGCTGTTCGCTGCATAGCAAGGTTGTGACAAGAAAGCACTTCTTCTCTCGATTTCTGAAGTAGATGGAGTCGGTCTTCTGCAGCAGGTACTGTGGAGTTGGGAAGAGTGTGTGGGAGAGCTCTGGGTTCATATCCCATCATAAGGAAGAACAGGGATGCATTTTGTGAGTCGTCTTTTTGGTGATTATGGACAAACTCAGCCATAGGAAGGTGCTCTACCCAATCCTCTGGGTGATTGTGGCAGTAAATGCGGAGATAAGTCTCAAGTTCCTGGTTGAGACGTTCAGTCTGTCCATCAGTCTGAGGATGATAAGCGGTGGATGCGGTGATGTTGTATTTTAAGAGTTTAGTGAGGGCTTTGGAGAACTTTGATACAAACTGTGGTCCTTGATCGGATATAACTTTCTCATGGAGACCGAAGTGGCAATAGACGTATTTGAAGAACTTCGAGGCAATGCCTTCAGAAGTGATGGTTTTTGTACAAGGGATCAGAATTACCCCCTTCATAAGGCCATGGTCTACCATGACCATAACAGAGTCAAAACCCGCACATACGGGGAGGTCAGTAATGAGATCAATGGAGACTTGGGCAAAGGGTGCAGAGGCAATGGAGGGGATAGGGACAAGTGGGGGAGTCACAGGGTGCATGTTGGATTTCATTTGCTGGCAAAGAGCACAACCATCAACATATTTCTGAATATAGGAGCCCATAGAAGGCCACCAAAAGTCATGCTTGACAAGCTCTTCTGTCTTAAAATGGCCAGGATGACCAGCGGAAGCATGGTCATGACAACATTCCAGAACCAGGCATCTTCCAGCAGGGTGGATGTAGGCACGATCTTTGTAATACAAGATGTCTTCTTTAATTGTCCAATCAGCGAGTGCAGATTTCATGGGGGGAAGCGATAAGCCATCAAGGGCATCTGCAGCAGCTTGGAAGATTGGGTCAGGATTGGTGGGGTCTGGATTCGCGAGTGTGGTCATAAGTTCCATGTCAAGAAGTCATACAAACATAGAGTCTGGGAGGAGAGTGATGTCATCGTTGTCACCCTGTCCAGTTCTGTGATCAGGATGTCTGGAGAGTGCATCAGGGGTGGCGAGTTTAGTTCCAGCAATGTGATGGAGTTCTATGTCATAACAGGAGAGGAGGAGTTGCCAATGTGCTTGGTGACGAGTCAATTTCTGTGCAGTATGGAAGTAGAGCAGATTCTTATGATCCATAAAGACAATAACTGGATGAGGGTTTCCTTCAAGGTAATGACACCATTTGGTGAGGGCGCAGATAATGGCGAGAAGTTCACGATTGAAGATCTGATAATTTCTTTCAGCTGGGTTCAGGGTTTGGGAGAGGTATCCACATGGATGGTAGACTCCATTTTCATCAGTCTGTAGCAAAACTGCTCTGGTAGCAATGAGTGAGGCATCAGTAGTGACAGTGAACTGCTGACTAGGATCAGGGTTTCATAATACGGGTTGCTTCAGGAAGCATTCCTTAAGTGTGGTAAATGCAGAG